CTTGCGGAGATCCGCAAGCTATATCCTATCTAAAAATCATTGTATGACGAAAATGTTCCCAGACGTTTAACATTGCTCGTTGTTCGGAATAATTTTTGTTTTCCATCTAACAACAAACAAACAAATGCGAAGCGAGTTTTTTGTGCCGGTAAAGAAAGACGGGGCTACGCACCGTGTAATGGGGATTCTGGTAGTGCATTTGCCATCTATGCTAATGGCGTCTGGTTTTTAAGAGGTGTGGTCTCAGCTGAACTCGGCGATCCAAATTTAAATCGTTGCGATCTTGATACGTATGTCATTTTTACTGATATCATTCATTTTCGCAGTTGGATAGACAAATATATATGAACGCATGCGAAAAAAGCATTTTTTATAGAATTTTTAAATGTTTACCATTATAATTTTTACTGGGTCGCTTTACATATATAATGAATTGTTCAATAAACAATATTTACCTTTTCAAAAGAATAGCTCTTTTGTTTTAAGTCATATTGAATGCCACTGAAACATACAAAACAGTTTGAAATATGTTTGTACTCTTTTCTAGACGTTCTATGAAACAAAAGTCGGCAAGTATGTATCATATGTATCATGCGGCTATGTACGCACGCTTGGATCCGGCTCTTGCGGAGATCTTACGGGTCTATGAACACGAACTTCAATAAACCATTACAGTTGCCTGGTGTTTCTGATGAGAGGATCAGCGCTGATGTCTTCAGGTGGCGGAATTTCACATTATTTGTTTGGCGAAACGCATTCACACCTTTCACGATGAGAAAAAAATATATAAATTTGGGTGTTAATAAATGTGTTTTGTTGTTGTTGCTTGAAATGAAGAATAAAACTTGTTTTTATCGATAAGTTAGTTGCATAATCAATGTTCTTGTTGTTGTTTTTTTTCTTTAGTGATTAAGACCTTTTGAGCGATTCGATGTTTATATGAAATTTAATTTGATTGACTACCAAAAAGAAGAGAACGAAAAAGTTGCCCGGTAACATGCTTTTCTGGCATTAAAACACAAGAGAGAACTGGTTTTATTATGGAAGATGTTATATATTATCTAATAATATATTCTTAGTCTCGAAAAAATGGTCATAAAATGATTGTATTCGATGATACAAAACGGTTTATTTGAGCAAAATGATGCTATGAAAGTGCTAATTCTCCAAAAGTTAAAAAGGAACGAAATTTTAGACTATATAACCAGTATCTTATTGAGCACATAATATAGAATTTTGATGTTCACCAAAGAGAAAGCCAAAAGAAAAGATGAATTTCTCGGCGTTTGAATTAAAATGAAAATTTAAATATGAAAGCAATCCATTGGCAGTCCCGAATTTGAATAAGATTAAATCATAAATTTATGCATTTCTGGCAAATGTCATTCGAAGATGAACGCTTTTAAAAATTTCAACACTATATCTTGTTTGAATCTGGGATGTAAGTCAGTCATACAACCATAAATCAGGGTTCTCAAAATGGGATTTTAATTCAAAATCACAAATCAAATAAATTGATTTGATTTGAAAAGATTCAAATAAAAACAGTCAAATAATTTGATTTGAGTGTCATACGTTTCAAATAAAATGATTTGAATATTTTAATTTGAAATTTTCAAATCAAATCAATTTATTTGTGATTTGATTTGTTGATTTCCAAAGCAATTTTCGAATCAAATAGTGCAATTTTTTAAGTTTTCTTTCCAAATACCAAGAAATTGGAAGAAAACATTGAAAAAAAAATTGAATTTTTTAGTAAAATATTATTTGATTTGACAATTCTTATATGCCATAAATCTAACAATATTTCTATTAATTTCAGCTCATTAATTCAAGACTCAATTTCAAGTATTGTTAGTTTAATTAAATTCGTAATCAAAATTCAACAAAATTATTAAGCATGTGGTTATAATCGAGCGAAAAAGCCGGCAAAACCCCTGCCACTTGTTGAACATAATATGAACAAACACGAAAACATAATTTACAAACTAAGTATTGCTCTTTAATGATGATTAGAGAGTCTCTTTGAATATAAATAAAAAAATAAATAAATAAAAAAAATTGTATGCAGGCAGTATTATCGGCTGTTCTCTTCTCCAAGCATTATTTTGTCATATCATTTGTGTACGGTTTAAAACGCCGCTTGAATATACACACATCAAAATCTAATATTATGTATTATCACACTGTATGCCACGTATGTGCTTCGCCAATGTGTCGTCATCATTATTGTGCTTTTTTCACCGATGATTTTAAGCAAGTGGGATAAAAGAAGCACACACATACATTCACATTAAAATACATTTGTGTACGAAGCACACAACCGTAAAATATGTATTTCTATTTAATAGCCTAAAACTGATGACTTCAAGCTTGGAAATCATTGAGTGTGATATTTTTTGATTCAGTATAGTGAGTACTGTTCGCGTGGTAAGTTCAGTTTTTTAAATTGTAATTTTTGAGACGCGATATTTAGTCGTTCCATTTTTATATGGTTGAATCTTATTTTTGGATCCATCAGATTTTAATAATTTATTTTTCAACAACGGAACACATTTGTTCATTCATAAATCAAGTGTTTTTTTGTGTTTTTTTTCAATCATGAAAAAATGATTGAGTATAATGTGCGATGCGGAGTGAAGTTCTCTTTTTTTTATCACATAACAAACAAGTTAAAATAATTTCATCACACCGCAGATTGTTTTAGTTAAACGTGACGCAACCACAACAAAAACGGTGATTTCAAACAGTCGGCCAACCATAAACTGTCTCTTAATTTTTTATTTCAAATAAATGTAAATATAAACGTTAATAAATAAGATACATTTTCCGTTAGAAGAGGAAAATGATCGAATTTATGATTATGGCATATGACCCCCACAGCTGACAAATAGAGATTCATATTAAGATAAATAAAATAAAAAATGTTCGTGCAAAAATGATTAATTATACAAACAATGAGTATTTCTGGTGTGTTTTAAAAATAATTGATATATAAGAGGTGTCTAACACATGTTTGTCAATATTCAGGTTGCAGCTTTAAAAGCTATAAACTCTGATAAGAAATCAGCCGTATCACTTTAACTATATGACTATATGTATATAATACATTACTTTGCGTAAAATGTGTCTATTTTATCGCCAAAATTATCTATCGTTCCGATTCATGAATTCAGTATAAAGTTAATCTTATTTATAAAAGTTCATATTTGTAATGACTTTGCATAATTTGTTGTTGTCAATTCTATTTTAACATTAATGTTACTAATTGATGACGCATCCAAGACTAAAAACTTCTATTTTATCATCAAAATTAAAATCAACAATATTTTTGGCGAACTTTGTGGGTGCGAATTAGAGCATGTGCAGCGTCGAAGACTCAGTTCGAAAAAAAAATTGATAAAATAAGAATTAATTTGAACTGTATCGGGTCAGTGCAATTTTATCCCGAACACTTGTGTTTTCGTATTCATCGTGTCCAATGGCCATAAAATCAAGTGCTGTCCAATAAAATGGGACAATCGTCGATATGACTATAGTGTAATCTAAGTAACAATGTGTAAATTTAATCGCTAATCTGATCTACTTAATTGTGTTAATCATACTTGTCATCATGATTCTCTCTTAATTGCAAAAAAAAAAAAATTATACGATTTCGAAAAAAGGTATTACCGAAATTCCAAATGTGTTGACGACTTTCTGAACAAAAGAAAATTATATGGCCGGTTCAATTGCATAACGTAGAGTGCGGGAGAGGAAGAGAGATTGATGTTTAAAGTTTTACTAAACTCAAATCAATTCGAATGAATTTATATAAATTGAAATGAATTGTGTGCAAACAAATGGTTGTAGTAAAATGAGTGTAATTTGTGAATCCATCACACTAAATGATTGTGTCACTTGATGTATGGCATGCTTTTGAAAAGTATGTGTACGGGTCGATAGAACGCAATGTGTATTGAAGTTGAGAAACAATACAGATACACATTTGCTATTTATAAATAATCAGCGTTTTGTTACAGTAAAGACAGTGTCGACTTCAATCATAAACAACAACGTTCACATATATTCAATGAGATTTAATTGCGTCACAAACCAATTATTACAAATAAATTGCAAACACTGGTTGAACAGATATATTTGCCGGCAATATTCAAATTGATTGGGATTTATGTTTAAAAGTGTATGCGTGCGTGTCTGGTCACTTGAATTCGTGTTCGATGTGGAAGAAAAATCAATAGCATTTAACTGTCGAAACCTTATTACAAACGCATATGGTATTGATCCCATATTACTGAATTTCAATAAAACAATCTAACGGAACTCCCCCTTGTTTCTCTCTATTTCCTTTTCTAACGCTCTCACTATCTCTCCCAAACACTTTGTTTTGCCACTCGTAAACCCTTCTTTTGACTTTATCCGCTTCAACGGATCAGAAGAAATATAAAAAAACATAAAATATTGATTCAACAAGAACACATATATCGACAGTTGCTGTGAATGTAAATGTGACCAATCAAATATTTAGAATTGAATGTCGATTTGGACTCGAGTGGCTTTGTTATTTTTTTAGTGTCCACTGATATCACAACTAATGATTTTGATAAATTTCCACCATTGTCTGCGACAAAAGCATGCAGAGAATCAATAAATTAGAAAAAATTGAAATAAATAAAAAGCCAAGAGAATGAAAAAAACATAAAATACAAACTCATCACTAGAGACAATTAATGTTAATTCGATTAATAAATAATTGTCATACTTATGAAGCAAAAATCAATTCTTATCTAATCTCTCAATCTAAAGATTTATTGGTAGAAAAAATAAAGACACGAAAACTACTCAAGTACAACATAAACTGAAAAAGTTCTCCGTAATTCGTCCTCGAAACAAATTATTTACTGTACGCTATATTGAAAGTGATTATCTCAGGTAGTGAATCAATAGAATTTAAACATTTGATGAAATAATTGTGTGAAAAAAAACTTGTGAATTTAAGCAAAAGAGTCAAAAGAACAAATGTATTAAGTTAGTCGTCAACACTCGGAGGTATCGTTTCAAAGGTAGCATCAACTTGAATCATAAAAAAGCGGTTACCTTGATTTTTGCGTTGCTCTTTTTTTTCGTTATCTTATTTCACTGTAATTGACGGACCAAAACTTGAAAAACAAGCCACAAAATTGGAATTAAAATAAACGGAATGTGTGCATATGTGTGTGTATGGGATGTAATTCTTGGCATAGAATCGAATAAGAATCTCATCATCATCGGTCAGGGTTATATGAGCAAAAAAAAAACAAAAATACATGCACGCAGTTCGCATACAGAAACAATAACTTTTCGCGCTCTCGATTGCGAAAGAGTGATACACAATAAAAGTAACGAAAAAAGAAGAGAGAAAAGAATATGTAACAGAGAATCCGGTTTTATAATTTTATATGGTTGGGATCTCTCCATTTCAGCCTCTTCTTTGACACCACCGTTAAGCAGTTCGTTCAAATTGTCTTCGAATTCGAATGAAGAGACAAAATTATTGAATTTTTTTATTATTATTATTTATTTTCATCGCCAAATGATGGCTGTATTTTAGGATAGTGTATCACAATAAATAGTTTGTATATGTTCTAATATTTGTCGATAATTTTAGTTTTGAGATAAATAAATATAGATCGTGAATTTTTCAATTTAAATAGTTGCTAGATTACAATAAGAGGTTTTAAAGAGGCCATATGCTTCACAAGGAGTTAAAGGAATAAAAATATTATTTTTGGTATTAATTATTGAAATGTTTTCAAATTTCATTAGTCGTCTTGTATAAGATTACTCATATGAAAGTATCACAGATAGTTGTTTTTGTTTAATATAGTTGAACGGGTGAGGATTAAAGTGAACTTAATTATATTATTAAATCCCGTAAAAAATAAAAGAGAAACATGACATTTTTTTGTATGGAGTTGTGGTTGTGATTACAACAATAAATCTATATAAAAAAAACTTTGTTCTCATCGGGATTTGAGCTCGCTTTAATCATCGCCCGTTCAATTGTCGGGCACATTCATCATCATTCTCAGTCAGTAGGCTCTCACATGATCCCAGCATCCTAAAGTTATAACCAACGAATCTAGACGCCAGATCTCCATCGATCGATCAACTAAAAATCACAACATTCCATAAGCTTTTTGACAAAGGATTTTGAATGTATTTGAACATAAGACCGGTTTCAGCGTGAATCGATGTGAAAAATACTAAATTTATTTATTATTTCTCGTAAAAGGTCGTATTTGTACTCCCATATTCACCTTATACCTTTATTCTAATTGCTCAAAAACACTTATTTCGTTTGTCGAATACCTCTTGCTTTTAAATTCACTGAATGTGACAGAACAAATTGTACTAGATTTATAGAATATTTTTCATAACCTCACTTCTTACATTATGTGACCGAAAATAAAAGTGACGTTTAAGATTGTTTGATACCTGTGCAATCAAAATTCATGCAATTCGATTTTGATGTGTTTAAATAATATCCAAATTTATGGTAGGCCATTGCCGGCAATGTTGTAATTAAACTCAAGTTTATCTATTTTGTTTTTCAGTTTACTCGTGCGTTGCTAGTAAAATACAAACACGTCAAAACATCGTTGTGTGGCAGTGACAATATATAGTGACTGTTTAAATCAAAGCGCATTAGCGCAGTCAAGCACTCGTTTAATATAAGTTCCAATCATCGAGAGATTGTGATTTTTTTAGGATGTTACTAGAAAAATTGGACGATTTTTGCGGCGGAGAAAAGTTCTGGGTAAGTTACATTGATTTTATTTCATTCAAATTTTATTGTAGAAGAGCTAAATTTACCGGATAAAAACCTTTGTTTATCATAACATATCGATATGATATGCATTGACATTTACTCTACATTTGGTGTTTAGTGTTTACATATATAATGAATAATATGTATTATTTTAACTTTTAATAGAATCAAACTCTCACCTGGGATACCGATACACCAGATTTTACAGAATGCTTCCAGAAAACAGCATTAATTTGGCTACCATGTGCCTTTCTCTGGCTGTTTACGCCATTAGAAATATTTTATATGAAAAATAGCATTAATCGTAATATTCCGTACGGTTTTGCAAATGTTTGCAAATTATTGTTAACTGGTGCGCTGATAATTCTATCAATCATTGATTTAGTGATTGTTGTAGTCAATGGCGAGAAACAAAAATTGGCACCGGTCGACTATTATACGCCAGCAATTAAGATTGCTACATTTGTAAGTTGAGCCAACACAATTTTATATTCAATTCGCGGCTATTAATAATATTTAATTTTATGTAGACATTGTCGGCAGTATTGTTGGAAGGAAATCGACGTTTTGGTCTTCGAACATCTGGTCTTCAATTTTTGTTTTGGGCATTCTTGTTGATATGCGGATTGCCAATGTTACGGACACAAATCACACATCGGCACGCACGTCAAGCTAATCCTGATCATGATGTAGACCCTCTTGCGGAATACAATTTCACCAGTTACCTCATATTTTATATATTCTCATTGGGCATTTGGATCTTAAATTGCTATGCAGATCGAGCACCGCTTAAAACAAAATATCCAAAGTCCGATAAACCATATCCAGGTATGCAATCATTAACGAATTATTGATTGAAATAGCAATTAAACAATTAAACTGTTTCAGAACAAGGTGCCAGTTTTCTATCTCGACTTTTGTACACATGGTTCGATCCATTGGCTTGGCAAGGCTATCGACGACCACTCGAACAAAAAGACCTGTGGGACATGAACCCAGAAGATTCGTCCAAAGAAATTATGCCAATATTTTTAAAATATTGGGATCGTGCGGTTGCCAAGGCTTCCGGCTACAATGTGTAAGTGAAAACAAGCTAATCATATTTTGACAATATAGATAATATGTGGTCCATCGCTTGTACTCGTTTTAATTTCGTTTTTTTTCTTTATTTTCGTAAACAGAAGAGCCGCTTTCACTGGAAATGCATCATACACTAAATCTCGAACGTCAGCCAGCGTTACCATCAATCCCGAACAAAGAAAGAAAAAACAAGCATCAATTTTACCGCCAATTTGTAAAGCATTCGGCCCGACATTTTTGTTCGGGGCCATTTTAAAGTTGGTTAATGATCTTTTAACATTCGTTAGTCCACAACTACTTCGAGCAATTATCAATTTTGTTGACGACTCAAACTACAATCCAGTCGAACAAAATACAACATTGGATTCCACAACAGAGTCTATGCTAGGCATAGAATCAAGATTGAATGGATCAAAACAACAAGATCCAATGTGGCGTGGTATTTTATATGCAGTACTTTTATTCATTGTGGCCAGCACACAAACTCTATTCTTGTCACAATACTTTCAACGTATGTTTTTGGTTGGTCTACGTATTCGTACGGCTCTTGTTGGTGCAATCTATAAGAAAGCATTGTGCTTGTCGAACAAAGCTAGAAAAGAAAGCACTGTGGGTGAAATTGTGAATTTAATGGCTGTCGGTATGTTATTTAAATAATTCCAGTAAATCAGTGGCATATTTTTTGATGAATAGTAAATAATAATTTGAATATTCTTTTGAATAATTCAGATGCGCAAAGATTTATGGATTTAACCACATACATCAATATGATTTGGTCGGTGAGTAAAAAACATTCAAAAATCAGCAAGCTCCCCACTTTATATTGAATATATAAATATGTTTATTATATGTTTTAGGCTCCATTACAAATTGCTCTCGCCTTATATTTCTTATGGGATTTGCTTGGGCCATCTGTGCTGGCGGGTGAGTTTTTGTACCATTGTCGCCATATGTTTACATAAAATAAAAATGTTTTTTTTTTTTTTAAATGAACTAGGTTTGGCTGTTATGATCATATTGATTCCGGTGAACGGTGTGATTGCCAATAAAATTAAGACCCTTCAAATTCGTCAAATGAAAAACAAGGACGAACGTGTTAAATTGATGAATGAAATTCTCAGCGGAATTAAAGTGTTGAAGTTGTATGCGTGGGAGACGAGCTTCGAAGAACAAGTGCAAAAGATTCGTGAAAGAGAAATTAAAGTATTGAAGGATGCAGCATATTTAAATGCCGGGACGAGTTTTATCTGGTCTTGCGCACCGTTTCTGGTACGAATCACTTTATTGCAACAATTTTTTGAACATATTTTATTTTCTAAAATGATAAAGTTTCTAGGAAACCAATTTCAGAACAAAGTTGTGCCAAACATTTTCATTTTTTTTCAATTTTATTTTATTTTATTCTAAATACTTTTTGCCACATATTTTTATTTGTTAAAAATCAAAGGTTTCACTTATAACATTCTTCACTTATACCATATCTGGAGATGATCATATTTTATCCGCTGAAAAAGCATTCGTTTGTTTGGCATTATTCGATATTATTCGGATGCCATTGGCTATGTTGCCTTTGCTTATAGTATACATGATTGAGGTAAAGTATATCAAATGGAAAATGTATGCAAAAAGTGAAGGATTATCCACTCCTTCAATTCATCTCAAAACATCTCAAAATATGCTTCAATTTCAAACAAATGGTTCATAGGTATCCAAAACTTCACATGAATTTCTCTCATTATTATGCTTATGTTTCTTCCTCAATATCTTCTGTACACTTCTCTATAAAATTATGGTTTTAAAAGTGAATTAATGGAAAAAAAAATAAAATTTTGGCAAACGAAAGAACTTTTATCAATTTCTATCTCTTGAACATTCTGTTTCCAATTATCTTTATTTTATATATCCATTTTATCTTTTTCATTCTTCTATGTTGGCTGGGAACATAAAATAATATGTGAATATCTACACATAAACATTAACAAAATGCAGGTTGCCCTAATTTCTTTCACTTGTTTCGTTCTAATTGATGATAAAAATGTGTTGGATGCGAAAACTGCTTTTGTTTCTCTATCCCTATTCAACATTTTACGATTTCCGCTTTCCATGTTACCGATGCTAATCACCAACATGGTTCAAGTAAGTACTCTACAACGGTTGATGTGTCACATTCGTATTCTATTATTATTGTTGTTATTATTTAGTTTGGTTTTGGAAATGTAGTCATTGGCTTGATTCAATTTAGTAGTATTTCTAATCTCAACACTGTTATCTATTTGTCTTGGTATTGTCTTTTGTATGTGCACCTAACACGCATGGATATTTTAGTTTTCAGTTTGGATGTGCTTTACGTTGCATACATTTTGATGTGTTTTTGATCAAATCGAATCATAAAAACTTACTAATAGTTTTTTTTACGTATAATTGCGAAATAGACAAGTGTATCTGTGAATCGAATCAACAAATTCATGAATAGCGAAGAATTGGATCCACAAAATGTAATACACGATCCATCGAATGGTAAGAAATTTTTTCATGATTTATCATTTTTAATTTTTGTTTTTGATGAGAAAAAAAAACAATTGCTCTTCTTTGCAGAAGCACCACTCTCAATTGAAAATGGAACATTTACATGGGGCGAAGAAGAATCAGTTCTCAAGAATATCAATTTGCAAGTTAAAAAGAATAATTTGGTTGCGGTTGTCGGTTCAGTTGGTTCAGGGAAATCGTCAATTATATCGGCATTTTTGGGTGAAATGGACAAATTATCGGGACGCGTCAATACGGCCGGAACAATTGCCTACGTTTCACAACAGGCTTGGATTCAAAATGCCACACTTCAGGATAATATTTTGTTCGGAAAGCCGATGGATCGTAAACGTTACAATCAAGTTATTGCAGCTTGCGCATTGAAACCAGATCTTGAAATGTTACCTGGCGGCGATGCCACAGAAATCGGTGAAAAGGGAATCAATTTAAGTGGTGGTCAAAAGCAACGTGTATCTCTTGCCCGTGCTGTATATAATGATGCAGATAATTACTTCTTGGACGATCCATTGAGTGCAGTCGATGCTCATGTAGGGAAACATATATTCGAAAATGTAATTGGACCGTCTGGTATTTTGGCATCAAAAAGTCGATTGCTTGTGACTCACGGTATTACGTATTTGCCAAACGTGGATAATATTTATGTTGTGAAAAATGGTGAAATAAGTGAATCGGGGACATTAAAGGAATTGATCAATAAAAAAGGTGATTTCGCTGACTTTTTGATTCAACATTTACAAGAGGTGAACGAGGAGGAAGAGAATTTGGATGAGATAAAAGAACAATTGGAAAACACATTAGGCACAAATCCAGATATCGAACTCCGCGGAAAACTTGAAAGAGCTATTAGCCGATCACGAAGCGAAAGTCGTTCAGAAACCGGATCATTGAATGGCTATATATCTGCTGAAAGTACAATTTCAAATGAAGATGGTGTACGTAAGCGATCTGTAAATAAACGTGACTCTGATAGTGATCTAAAGGCAAATAAAGCAGATGAAAATGGTCAAAAACTGATTGAACAAGAAAAATCGGAAGTTGGAAGCGTCAAATGGGATGTTTACAAGCATTATTTGAAAAGTATTGGTGTTTCGTTAACCATTTTAACGGTACTTTTGAACTTAATCTATCAAGGATTTGCAATTGGTTCAAGTATGTGGCTTTCAAAATGGTCAAACGATAAACAGGCTGCTAATGACACTGACAAAAGAAACTTATATTTGGGTGTGTACGCTGCCTTTGGATTGGGACAAGGTAAGATCTTTCTCGACCATTCATTGACGTTTTCTGTTTTTTTTCCTTAGTTTTCGGTAAATTTTAGTTTGACATTTGCGCATGTACAACCAAACAGTTCTAATTGATTAAGTTAAGGCTTATACATTCATAAGTTAGATTCGCAGAGGTTCAATATCCGTTAAATTGGTTTTATCATCGATAATATTATTATTGTTTTGATCCCAACTTATTTAATATTCAAAATTTAATATGGCCCATTTTTTGTTTGTTTTGTGTTTGTCCACGTAAATTTCATTTAAAAAAAATACTAAAAAAAATCTTTTCCCATAGTTCTGCTCAGTTTCGCCACGTCGTTGATAGTAGCGCTAGGTTTTATTTATTCAGCAAAAGCAATGCAGGAAAGTCTGTTGACAAATGTACTGCGTTGGCCGATGCAGTTGTTCGACACGACGCCACTGGGGCGCGTGATAAATAGATTTTCAAAAGACGTGGACACGGTCGATAACATCCTTCCACAAACTATTAGAAGTTGGATTATGATGTTTTTCGCGGTAAAAATTTTCATACACATTTTTTGCACACTGACAACAATGAAACTGAAGGGATTTTTATTCGATCGATTATACAAAATTACGCATTATTCGCATTATTTTATTAAGCTTGATTTACTATTGACAACGACGACGATTAATTAAGCTTGTCTTGTGAGTCACATCTGTTGTGACATCTATAAGACAATAAATTGTGAAAATTATCAAAAATTTCTTGGGTCAAATCGAAAAATGACAATTTTAAGGGGATTCCATTGCACTTCTGTATAGTTAATCATTTATTTGTTACTAGTTTTAAACTTTAACATTTTATGTTTTTACATAAAAAAAACGTAATGAGATTGAAAAATCATTGTGATATGTGTGTTTTTAGGTAAAGTAGGACTTCAACGTAAATATGTCAGTTGACATTTAACAGAATTCATGTTATTAAGATACTTTGCATGGGCATGTTCATAAAAGATTTGTTTTTTTTTTTATCTCTATCTTTCTTCAATTTTGTTCGAGAACAGTATTTACCGTATTTTTGGCAACATTATCCTTGTTCCTTGCTTGTTTGGGAGCAGCTCGTTATTTACACAATGATTTATTGCGCAAAATTATGCGCGCTCCAATGGCCTTCTTCGATCGTACACCTCTCGGCAGAATTATAAACAGACTATCGCACGACGTAAATGAAGTCGATATTGACTTTCCAGCGACATTAAGAGCATGGGTTTCATGCATTTTTTCGGTATTTTTTTATTTTGTATACTCTCTCCGACTCTCTCTATCTCTCTTTTTTGAAACAACCAATTTATGATATTTCAATTGAATTTCTTTTTCTTTGATAAAAATACACTCCTCTTTCTTCAATCTCATACAAATAATCTTCAGTTGGTTGTGCTATTATTCAAATATTCCTTTTTTCTATAAACAAATGGTTTACTCTTTGGATACTTTAATAATTTCGGCGACTGTTCCTATCCATTCCATTTTTCAAAATAATTCGAGCGATTTTATCTATAACGTGATCTATACGATCGTATGCTTTGTATTTTATGATCTCCTCTCTGGATCTTTGGTATATCCCAAGTCAGTATAATACTCTTTTCGAAGAGTGTACACGCTCTTCTCACACTCTTCGTATAGTTTTATTCGACTCCCTTCTCACACTCTTCTCACACTCTTCTCACACTCTTCTCACACTTTTGCATAAAACACGTATATTGTTTTTAACTGAGCTTCAATTTTTTTCTCTAAAAAATTTTCTTTTTTTTCTTTATAATAAATTTTTCCACTGATGGATAATTTTTGATTTTGTTAATTTTTGACATTTTGAAAAAAATGAACGTATACAAAAAAAATGAATTAGCTGTTGCAACAGCAATTGTCGTTCTGTTGTATTTTGACACAGCTGACGAATGCTATAAACGTTCAAATATCAAAATACAAACATTACTTCCACTGGAATGCAGTGACAGCAGTTCTCACTCAATATACGTGTTTTATGCAAAAGTGTGAGAAGAGTGTGAGAAGAATGTGAGAAGGGAGTCGAATAAAACTATACGAAGAGTGTGAGAAGAGCGTGTACACTCTTCGAAAAGAGTATTATACTGACTTGGGATCCCATTGGAATTTTCTTCTTTTGATTTGCATGATTTTTTTATCATGATCGTGATAACAGACAAATTAACTTACTAACAAATTAATAATATAATGTAATGCATATTTCCATAAAAAAGCTTGACTGAAATATAGCTTAGGGGTTCTACTAATGTATTTTCTTTCCCTATTTTTGCGCCAAATCAATCATTTATTCGTAACAAACAAATCACACTATAACAAATTGAAAATTGCTTACTTTGGCATAGTTTTGGCCGTGCTAAGTGGATCAACTATGCATGCATATGGTACAATGAAGGCCGCATTGAATATTCATCATAAATTATTGAATTACGTAATGGGCGCACCGCAGCATTTTTTCGATACAACCCCCCGGGGTCGAATAATCTCCAGGTTTTCCTTAGATATGAACACTGTCGATAACAATTTACCTATGAGCCTCAGACAAATATTACAAGTATCTTTTCGGGTAGGTGCTCAAACTATACTGTAAGCTTTGACACGCGTAGATAGAAAATTCTGTTTGTATTTTTGATTTAAATTATTTTTGGTGTTCGTTTTCTATCTGCTTTCAAATCGACGAAAGAGATGGCTGCATTGATTTCAATTCGAAAAGAAATGTGTTCAAAATTTCATGCTTTTTCTTAACACATTAACACTGCGTATGTGATTTTTATTGAACCTTTTGCACCGGTGCACTACAATGAAAATATGCACTCAAACAAATTTAAATAATTCGAGTGGAATGGTCAAACATTAAAAACTGTTATTAATATCCTTTTTACTTAACTATTAACGTTTTATTTTCGATTTTGACCATTTTTTTAAGCAGCCATTTCGATCATTTTTGCTGAAGTTCTGGTACGTTATGGCTGTTTATTTGCCGCATTGAATTTGCATAATGCTTTGATGGGTGGCATATTTCACGCGCCGCTTACATACTTCGATCAAACCCCTAGTGGTCGAATTCTATCACGGTTCTCAAAAGACATTGAGGTTCTAGATTCACAATTTCCAGAACTATTGAGTGAATTAATATACTGTGCAGCGGAGGTAATTTTTCAAAACAATTAATCAAAAAAAGTTGCATCGACATTTCACTTCCACGCACATCGTTCGAAAAGAAAATTAATTCAATAGATATATGTGACGATTCGCAAGACGAATATGCTCATGATATTGATTTGTGATTGTGCCCAAAAAAACTTTGAACTACCCTTAGCAAATATTTCACGAGTGCTACGATATATTTTTTAAACCAACAGCTCGATTTTAAAAGCTATCGTCTGTGAAAGAATTGGAAATGCTAGCCATTAAAATTGCTTTTCTAACAAAATCTAACCAAATTGTAAATGTAACGGTCCTTTTATTTGACCGCGTTTTTCACTCGGCTTTTAAATCGCACGTAAATTATTAGTTATTTCGACCGAATACAGTAGCGTAAGATACACTGAGCTATTGGCTCACACCATTTAAACATCGGTTTAATTCGGTCATATATTTCTATCGTATCGATTTCTGTAAAAAAAAAACTTTCTATTACTGTCGATTTTCGTTGCATTTACACAGCCTTCTCGTCAATTTTGGCCGAACTAATGTTGCGTACCGCCGGTTTATTGGCGGCTGTAAATCTGCATAAAACATTATTGTACGGTATTTTAAGTGCGCCACTTTCGTTTTTCGATCAAACTCCTAGTGGCCGAATTCTATCACGGTTCTCAAAAGATATTGATGTACTTGATCTAACGCTACCTGATACACTGAAGTGGCTACTTTATTGTGCAGCTGAGGTAAATTTCTTATATTTAACATCCTCATTATAATCAAAACATTTATTTTTAAATTGTAAAACAATCGTAAAACAGTCTGCATTTTCGAATGTGTGTGTTTGTGTGTGCGCACAATAATTTCACAAATTGATTAATTTGACAAAATAAACCAGTAAGTTGAGCCATTTTCATTAAATTCATGAGCGCGACGTGAGACGTACGATTGAAAAACTTGACATCAGCACCAGTCCCTCATAACTAAAAATGGTACAAATTCGTAATAGATAGCGTTTATAAATCGACAAACACGCTTAGATTTATTTATTTTTATTGGAACTTTTTGAATATAATAGATACCAGTGGCGCCACTTACTGGATATTATATGCGTTAGAAAGGTACTTGCCCCACTGATATCATGTCCAAGTTTCATAAGGATCGGATCACTGACAAGCTGTGAAAGCTAAGTTATTGCGTCGAATGTGTTATTATGTTTGCGTCATCGGTCAACGATCGGAAATTGAACACAGAATTGTTGAGTTACGCACTCTATTTAACTCTATTTTTGGTGTAAGTTTCATTGAGTCTGTTGCGTGCATATGAGTCTGTGTATACGCTAACGAATATGATTGCTAAGTGTATCGTCACATACGTTCGATGAAACTAACACCAAAAATAGAGTAATATAGAGTGCGTAACTCATTTTGAGGGGTAAAGTCTCTACTAACACCACAAGTGCGAGTAAGCCTACTCGAATACTTGTTTCTGTGAACCATACACAGTAAGAAAATATCAACTGACGCTATACGCAAAACCGACTGGTACGTACGCTCATACGTTTTTACATCTTTTACATCTAGTGACCATACGATTTTTCGACTGATTCGTTACTCTTTGTGCGTATCTTCGCACAGTCGAAAAATCGTATGGTAATAGATGTAAAAGATGTAAAAACGTATGAGCGCACGTACCAGTCGGTTTTGCGTATAGCGTCGGCTGATATTTTCTTTCTGTGTACGAGATACACTCAAAGAAATTATACAGTGAAAACTAGATGGCTTGTCGTATAAAATTCGGAACTAGTGGACACTCCGTATAAAATTGTATATTTCCATCTTATTTCATACAAAATATCGTTTTTGTGTATTCTCTTTTATGTAAAGCGTAAACGAAGAAGAACCGCACAAAAGAGAATACACAAAAACGATGTTTGGTATGAAATCAGATGGACAAATAGAATTTTATACGGATTGTAGTGATGTAGTTTTTATTGTATTACTTCTCTGGGTGTATATGAAACGAAAATGGAGAATTATGCAATGGACATTTCAGTTTTTTGTTGAAAAATGACTGAAAATGAGCAAATGCAATATCGTGAAAAAGTGACTTACTGTCTATTTCATATTCTAGAGACTCTATACATCTGGCTATCTGCAATAATCGTTATGGATTATTCAATATATAGGTCCTCAGTTAATATTAGGCTCATCAGAGCAAAAGATTCGAGGATGGGTTCCACGAAATTCACAGAAAATTGGTCCACGAGAAAATGAGAATATCCTGAAAATTTGACTTTTTCCAAAGATGTCGGTATGCGAAGCATGTGCCGATTAGGATCTCGTGTCTTAGTTTTTCTAGCTTATAGATAGTATGAGCAATCATAAAAAAATGGTTTTTGAAATATCTAATTCGTTAAAACTTTCATAATTTATCACAAAAGTTGATTTTTTGTTTGAAATTAATTTTGTCACCGAGAGCAAAAGATACTAAAAAATAAGACGCAATATCTTGACATGTTTACATCTGATCTTTACGAAACTTTTACACAATGTCAATGGGAACTCCAACTTTCTAACGCATATAATATCCAGTAGGTGGCGCCACTGGAATCTATTATTTTTAAAAAGTTCCGAAACTTTGGAATGGAGGGTGTATAGGTGTGCCAATTTTCACAAAAAGTAAGATCCCCCCATTTGGGGTCAAATACAATGAGACTATGGGTTATTTTGCGAAAACTGTCTCGGAGGGCATCTGGAAAAAACACTTTCTTAAGGTTTTTTGGCATGCTGAAGCCGAATCATTGGGTTTTAGGTGAAAAAAATCAGGGGTTGAGGGGTTATGACCTCCTTAGGGGGTGGGGGGAGTTGGAGGGCAGCTGACCCAAAAAATTTCTTTCATCATTCTGAACAACTTTGTAGAACATAATTTTTTGATCCGATTATAAAATCGATATCAACAAAAACAAAATTGTAAAAAAAAGAAGAAAACGATCATTTTTGCCAGTTTTTGTATGGAAATCGTATTGTAACGTTATTACATCGCAAAATAAATGTCAAAAATGGATTCCTCGACCCCAAAAACCCCCGCATACACATTTGGCTAGAGAAAAATAATGTGTTTTTGTCTTTTTCATGCAACATCCAAGTCGATTTTTAAATATTTTGGAAAATATCTTGAGAGAAAAATTGGCTGGCTCGAAATTCATTTTAGACATATGGTTCCTTGGGCAAAAATGCTTGTTAGGACCCATAGAACCAGAATCGCGATGTCGACTTGATGCAAAAAAATTGACCCACCCTACTACACATGTATCTCTTCTTTCACTACGATGCGTTCACTTGGATGAAATTAACACAAAAAATAGAGTAAAATAGAGTGCGTAACTCATTTTGAGGGGTAGACTCTGCTAACGCCGCAAGTGCGAGTAAGCGTACTTGTATATTTGTTTCTGTGTGTCGACAAGATACACACGCAACGGTGTTGAGTATAGTGCACATCATTTATATCGTATAGTGTACACTATACTCGACGCCACTGGGTTGCTGCAAAACACGTATCACTGGCGCCCTCACTGTATTGCATAGTGAAGTAACTCAATAGTACGTGTGTGAAATGTGAAGATTTTTTCTCGCACGAACCAGATGGCGCTAATCACTAAGTGTCTTTGCAGCAATGGTGTGCTCGACGCTGATGTGTATCATGTGCAGTTTAGCTTGATAGACAACATGACACATGTGCACAAAGGCACACTGAGATATCATATATGATAAAATAAATTGAGTGCTTAAAATATTCTATAAAATTATAAATCGAACAAATTTCTTCTCAAAAAAAATCTTTGCATTAAGCGCCATCTTTTGCGAATTTGTATCATTTTTAGTTATGAGGGAATGGCCCTCATGTCAAGTTTTGTCATGTCGCTCCCATGATTAAATCCAATCATCGATTTATCTTCTTTTTTTCTTAACACATTTTGCTTAATTTTCAAAATACTTTTGGCAAATCACTATCTTTCACATCTGGGGGAGATTATGGGTTTTATAAACACCAAGATTTTTATAGTAAATCAAGCTTTCAATCATTTCTAATTTTCCTTTCTTTTTTTTCAATCAGATTATTATTGCACTTTTCCCATTGCACATTTCAAATCAAATATTAATCGATCGATTTTTTTTTTATTTCATCACTAATAAAATGAAGGTGTTGTCAACGCTTGTCGTGATCAGTGTGTCAACATACTGGTTCATGGCAGTTATATTCCCAATTGGTATTGTTTACTATTTCGTACAACGATTTTATGTATCCACATCGCGTCAATTGAAACGTCTTGAGTCGGTATCAAGATCACCAATTTATTCACATTTCGGCGAATCAATTCAAGGTGCACCAACTATTCGAGCTTATAGCGTTCAACAAAGGTAAACAATCACTCAAAAATATTATTTCCATATAAATTTTCGAGTGTAAAAGATACGGTGCCCGTATCGGTTCTGCTCAAAAAAAGACTGTAAACTTTTGCAAATCAAATGAACAAAATAAAAATTTATGTATTCTTTTCGACAGATTTATTTCGGATTCGGATAATAAAGTAGACTTTAATCAAGTATGCTATGCGCCTTCGGTCATTGCAAATCGTTGGTTGGCTGTTCGCTTGGAAATGGTTGGCAATTTGATTATATTCTTTGCTGCATTGTTTGCCGTCTTGAGCCGTAATACCATCGATCCTGGGACCGTAGGACTTTCTGTTTCATATGCATTGCAAATTACGCAAACATTGAATTGGTTGGTGCGTATGACAAGCGAAGTCGAAACAAATATTGTCGCCGTTGAACGTATCAAAGAATATGCAGAAACAGAACAAGAAGCAGCATGGGAGAATCCAAATGCAGTTGTACCCAAAAACTGGCCAGAATACGGAAACGTTCAATTTAAAAATTTCGAAGTTCGTTATCGTGAAGGACTTGATCTTGTTTTACGCGGTTTAACATTCACTATAAATGGAACCGAAAAAGTGGGCATCGTCGGCCGTACAGGTATGTTTTCAAATCAATTTCTTATTCTCTATGGATTTTCTCATTAAATTATTTAAAAACTTAGGCGCTGGAAAGTCAAGCTTAACATTGGCCTTATTCAGAATTATCGAATCAGCTGGCGGTTCGATAGTTATCGATGGCGAAGATATATCCAAACTCGGTTTGCATACGTTGCGATCAAGATTGACAATCATACCACAAGATCCGGTTTTATTCAGCGGATCGCTTCGCTTAAATCTCGATCCATTCGGCCAAAAAAGTGACGAAGAAGTGTGGCGAGCATTGGAATTGGCTCATTTGAAAGCATTCGTAAAGGGATTGACAGCCGGTTTGAATCACGAAGTAACGGAAGGTGGTGAAAATCTCTCAGTTGGTCAACGTCAGTTAGTGTGTTTAGCTCGTGCCTTATTACGAAAAACAAAAGTGCTGATATTAGACGAAGCAACTGCAGCTGTAGACCTGGAGACCGATGATCTCATTCAAGTAAATCATTTTTTTTTTCAATTCAGTTATTCCCATTGAAATTGGTGAGGTGTCAATGGAGTTTTAATGTAATTGTCTTTTTTCTTTGCAGAAAACCATTCGTAGTGAGTTCAATGACTGCACTATATTAACTATTGCGCATCGTTTGAATACGATTATCGATGCTGATAAAATCATTGTATTGGACAAGGTGAGTTAAAAATTTGTGATACATTTTTTCATAAAGTTTTTTTTATATTTTCAATAAACTTCATTGGACAATATTAACTTTATAGGGTCATGTTGCTGAATTCGACTCACCAGACAAACTGTTGGCCAATAAGAAATCAGCATTTTACAGTATGGCAAAGGATGCGGGACTTGTATAAGTTCACTGCTAAAAATTCAGAAATCACAACCACGACAAATCCAGTTAAATACATAGGATTTAAGAATCTTCATCAAGCAATTAACATATTGTAAAGTACAGATGTAGTTTTAATGTTAATTTAGTTTTTTTTTTTTGCAATCAATTGTGAATCGAGATACTTATGCGCCTTACTTACTCACATTATACAGAGATTTTGGAATGAACTCTTAGCCATTCAATTCTTTTTGCTTGTTCATTTCTCTTTACAACTTATGATAAGAGTTGAAAAGAGGATCCGTACTTACTTTTTTTCGATAATCTTAAGAGAGATATTTTATTTTGTGTATTTCGAGGTTGTTTTGTTTGAAATTCGTTTCAAAACTTATGACATTGTTAAAGAGACAAATCTCAAGAAGATATTATTTGCATACAATTTATACTGAACAGATTCAATCATCCGTTTGTAATTCAATCACAAATTTTGTACTTATAGTTATAAAATGAGCGAACAAATACTTAAAATAAATTCGTTATTTGATGTACAAAAAAGTGCACATTATAATAAATGGTTTTTTATTCGTCACATCTCTTTTTAACTCAAATTTTGTTATTTTTCAACTATAACACCAATTGCTGACAAAGACGCAAGTATCTATTGGATTATCTACATTTAGTCATAAATTCGCTGAAGAAATGCAGCAGATTGCAAACATCATGTTTCGAAACTTCCGATTTATTGTAGGAAGTGATTGAATTTTATTTTATAAATACCCATTTTGCTTAGGAACAATTTACAAATCTTTACTATCACCTTTGAATCAATTAACCTAGGACGATATGAGAATTATTCTCTTAAAAAAACTAAACAAAGTTGTATGAAAGAATATTTTGCACTTATTATTTTTAAGAGACGTGTATTTCGAGTTAGCCAATTTAGAATGATTCAATCATTTTCGAAGCTCTCTCTCCTTTCAGCTTTATCTCTGATTCCATTTAAATTGTGGTGAATAATATTCATATTTTATTCATGAACGGTCACTTTATAAAGGATATGGAGAAAGTGGATCGCCGAATGTTGCAAAAAAGCCGCAGCAACCACCTGTAAGAAGAAAATTCAAAACCAAACATGATCCAAGACAGCCAGCTTTAGATATTATTTCACGAATTTGCCATTTTTAATACATTGCCATAAAAAATTAAAAATTTTATTTAAAAAAGAATAAAATGAAAAAAATTGGCAAGTGTTGGTATTAAAAATGGCAATTTATGGAAATATGTGTTTTTTTTTTGTTGAACGAGATATAATTCAAGATATGTCGACAATCTTTAAATAGTCAAATAAATAAACCTTTGTACTTATTTTGTAAATTTTTTTATTTACAACAATAATATTTTCTGTTCATGTAAATATCTAAATAATATTCAAAAAATATCAATTTATTTTTATTCATCTGATCACTCAGTGAATTTTCATTCTCAAACTTTGGAAGTTTTAACAACTGTGTGATAGTTAAGTACATAATTTGCTACAGCGTAATGTTCTATCTATTATCTATCTCAACTACTCATTCATAAGTAATCTATGGTTTTCTCAACATTCAATTTACATCTAATAAGCTGATAAGAAAGGTTTTCGAAATAAATTTCTGGACGTAATGTTTTTTTTCACATTTATATTATGTTCCGTATTGACAAAGTTTAACAAAGTTAACAATGGAAAATATGTGAATATTAAATTGCTTTGATAACGTTTATTAGCGACTCAGTCGCATTGATTGTAAGCTTAAATTCCAGGAAATATATATCTAACTCTCAAATAAATCGTTCAAAAATAAGTACAAATATTTGTTTCAATGCTTTTGATTTTCTTTTGTTCGGCCTTTTTGTTTTCTTTTTCGTTTCATTTGTCCTTCAACATTCGCTTCATTTGTGTTTGAAATTCTGTTCCCTTTTTTTTTGTATTTGAATCGTAGATGATTTTTTTGCGTTGCAATATCGTTCAAAATTCGAAATTGAGTCAACGAAATTCGTTAAGTTTAATAGCAAATAGATGGGAAAATTTTGAATTAAAATTGCTTTCATAACCATACTTAAAAAGATCTAAAAAGAATAAATTAATCATGGAATAAGATTGATGTTAATTAGTTATTCATGTCAAATTGATTTGTTTTTGATTACGTAACATTTAATACGTAAAATGAAGTACAACAGTAATTCGGTTTGATTATGTTTTAAGAATATCCAGTTCTCTATACGTGTCATATAATATTAGTAACGGTCTTTGTTTATGTTCGTTCCAAGTTTTGTTATTAAAAGTATTTAAAAAAAATTAACCCGGTTAGTGTGTTGTCGGCACGTACGCTGTCGACATAGCAATTCAGCCGATATGTGATAAGAATTCAATCGTAATTTTCGGCCTGTGAGCACCAATAACTGATTTTGAAATATTTTAACTTGCCTTGTGGTTTGCATTTCAAATGATTTTCGATGTATTGACACAAACAAATGTATTGGGAGACATGCCGGGCTGGTTCATGAACACCGGTTTTAATAAAACCACGCATAGTTTGATTGCCCCATCGGCTTGCATATCTTAAAAATAGCAATAGTGCACGTTCCTGCCACAATCGGACCCGGGGAAAAACGAGAAATAAAAAGAAAGCAAATCGAAACAAAAACGATGACATAAGAAAATTAAGTAAGTGAATTAAAACAAACACGAACTATCAATTTACAAAGAACGTCAAGCCAACTACCAAACTTATAAAATAAAAAAATAAAAAACTAATAAGAATAGACCAAATGAAACGAGCATTAAATGACATTCAACATTCACGTGTTAGTAGGTGAGTTAGTTGCAATTTCAGTTTGTTAGTTGATTTGAAGGTTATGGGGGGCGGGCAGGGGTTTATTTCACGGAAACTCAACGTAATTGAGTCCATTGCATTTTAAAATGGTTCCCATGTCAACTTGGACGTGAACAGTTTTCGATTTTAATCGATTGTCCCTAGTTGTATGTCCCTTGTATTAGTTTCTTTGGACGTCGATCGGTCTTTTGTGTATATAAAAATATGGTTGATATGTTAACATATCGAAATGCCACGCGAATTCATCCAGTCATTGCATCGCGGACAACATGCACGTTCATCTTTGCGCGGTTTATTCAATATTAGTTCTTCAGCATATTGACAAGGACATAATGCAGCTTGGAGATGGCGAGGCATTTCATGCATTCCATTCTCTTCAAAAATCCAGTCAAGTCTTCGACGGAGGTAATCCTTCCCCCATCTCTGCAAATAGCGCAAAAATAGCAATTCTCCCGCAGCCTATTTAGCATGAGAAACAAATGAAAACGTTTTTTTTTCGCCACAAATTGTTTTTTTTTTTTTTCATTCTTGAAATCGTTAAAGAACAAACTTAAAAAAAAAATTGAAAAGGATCGAGTACTATCTGTCAAAATATTTCTCTCTTTGCCAAGCGAAATTAACTCGATATACGGCGCTGATGTAAATGTCACTCTGTCATTTCACAATAATACATTTTTTGGCTTGACAATATATAAGCTCTTCATTTATCGTCGAAAAAAAAACATGTCATAAAATATTTTTCTAACATTTTTCATTAATTAACAAAATACAATACAATAATACAATAATTTCAAAAAAAAATGTTTCATGGATTAAATAAGAATCATGGATTAAATAAGCGGATTAAATATGATTAATAAAATGTTTCATGGATTAAATAAGCGGATCCATTTTACTTGACCAATCACAGAGAAGCAAAACGAAGATGCTGTCATGGCGGACCAAAATACTACGATCCCAAATAAGTTTCATTTTGCATTTTTACTTTATGAAAAAGTGTACCGATGGGTTTACATATGGGTGTACAATTGTACATCCTGTATATATATAATATGTACACCGGTTATGCACCCATATTTCCAAAATCGGTGTACACTTTTCCATATAAATTAGCCAAAGCACGACGACAATGACAGCTGGGCAACGCAGCAACTTCATTATGGTTGCCACAGTTTATGTTGGGTGGCACAAATTCGTACCATTTTTGATTTATGCGATCGAAATTTGTGCTATTTTTTAGTTTCGCTGGCAACCGCACAATGGCGCTACTATCAACGTTGCTTGTCATCGTCGCGCTTTGAAATTAGCGTTACAAAAGTGTGTACACTTTTCATATACTTTAACTTTTACTTTACATTTATCCCATTGGGCGTCGCATTGGTATTACTTTTTACATTGGATTCTTGTTCAATCTATGAAAAAATTATTATTATATTTGAAATTATTGTTATTTTTAAACAAATAAATTTAAAATATAGAGAATTTTGATGAAAAACGTAAGAAGAATATTTTATGATATGTTTCTTTTTTTCACTCGACCGTTCAAAAATTATGCATGTTGAATGAAGAACTTATATATTGTCAAGCCAAAAAATGTATTATTGTGGAATGACATAGAGTGACATTTACATCAGCGCCGTATATCGGATTAATTTCGCTTATCAAAGGGGGAAACGTCGTACTCGGTCCTTTGGATGGTCGGTATATGTTTTTTTTTCTAAAAACTGCACGATAAAATAATGGAATTTGAAATGGAAATACCAATTATGAAAATGATAAAATAAATAGTTCGGTTAATTGAAATAAAAATGCCGTGCAAACCAAAAATTGATGGAAAACATGGGATGAGGATTGTTTTCTGGATAAAGCACATTGAATAAATGAATATTGAATTCATGCTGATGTATTTTTAACTGAAAAACCATATTGATTAAACATACCTTTCGCTTTGAAACACGTGTTGTATTACTTCCCTGAATAATGATATCATTAACATCAACATCTAGACGAGATTCCCAACCGGCTTCAATAGTTGTTCCATTTTGCTCACTACGTTCAATAAAATCATTCAAATAGTTGACACACTGCTCCGGATCATAGTACATGAAACATAAATTCACTTTATGACATGATATTCTACCGCGATCGTCCAGCGCCATTATGATCTTATGACGAATTAGTTGCTTATTAACCGATGCTAAGCATCGTTCGAGACCTGGACAATTTTATAGACATTTTTGCTTTAAGAAATCTGCTTTGAAAATTTTCTCATATTACTTACCACGTGCCAAACGTAATTTCACCCACATGCACATAAAAATGGCAGCCGCATTTAAAAATAGCCATCCCACGCCCAAACTGAACAATGTTTCAAAAGGAATTTACATTACAAATATTCACATTTTGGAATATTTAAAGATACACGACATCAAATTTACAATTGAAGATTTACCTGAACAACGGAATGCCTTTTAGACCCGAGAACAACAAGCCGAGCATCACACATAATGCAAAGACAACCCAAACTAATAATACTCGCTTATAGCATACATTGTACAATGTAAATCGAAAATCATTGACCAGTGTCTCCATGGCATGAACATACTCCTCGACAGTCAGCTATTCGGAAACATAGAAGATAGAGCTATGAATTTCGAATTTGAAAAATAATTTCATGAATTATTTACCGTAAGCCCTTGTGCCATTAACTCTTCCGGAACCTTGGAATTGGTAAAGTATTAATTGGAATAGTAAAAAGGTTAAAGCATTAAAATAGAAAATTTAGTCTCAAAACTAAAATTGATTCGTAGGGTATAGACCTTTTAGTTTCGAGAGTGAATTTTCTACTTTAAAACTCCATTATAATTGCAAATAAAAATGATTTAATTTTGATAAATGGATTTACCAATTCTGGACGAAATAAAGCCGGCGTAATCCATGGCCACCTCGTGTTTATCTGAAAAACAATCAATTCAATTTCAAAATGGAATATTTTCTGTTTCTTTTTTTTCTTAAGGATATCCTTGATTGTATTTGAATTTGAAATTGATTCATTGTGTCGGAATAATGTATTTTTTTTACAAAAACTTACTGGAAGTAGCGAAACTATGACATCTCCATTTGCAAATCCCTCTCGAACTCGTCCCGATGATAGTTCAATTGTTCGTAATCCTTGTTCGTTTGGCGTCGGTGCTGACGTTGAAAAAGACGTTGTCACCGATTTGTTCAAGTTGTTTTTCGGTTGTTCAATTTCAATAACCGCTGGACTAGACGTGGCTAATGACTTTTGTGGTTGTTGTGGTGATGGGAGATTTTTTATATTAATGTGAACACTCTCGGTTGTCAAAACCGGTGGCTGCGATGATTGCGACACACTTCCTGATGATGTTTGTTGTACAGAACTATGCTTGTATTTGTTCGGAGATTCGTTCTACAAAAAAGAGATAGAGATGCCAAAAATCGTTAAAATTGATTCGCATGAAATAATAACTACCAATTGGTGTGCCATTTTTTTTACATTTTCAATCTATTTTCATCTAAAGTATACATAATCGCTAAATTACATCCGCTTGAAAAAAAAATTCTATTCAACAATTGTATGGCAAACAAAAAATGTTGGTAATGATTTACTGTTGGTCGATTACTGCTGCTGGGCGATTTTATAGACATTTTCGTTTTAAGAAATATTCTTTGAAAATTTCCTCATTGCTTACCACGTGCCATGTGACATTTGACATCAAAATGAATTGCAATCGAGTGTAATGGATTTTTTCATATACTAGTTTATTCAATTGACTCGGTTGTGTGATTCTAATTTAATTCTAATTCATCATTTTTTCGAAAAGTAGAAAGAGAGAGGTTCTCGCAGATTGAATTTGCTCACATTTTATCCAAATTTATTAAGTTCTTCCTTACTATCCCAAATGATTGATATACTCTATAAAATTGGTGTGAACGGCCATTGTCTCATATCATAATAATCAAATAGTAAATCGAATATTTACATTTTTGCTACATTCATAAAATAACTAAAAATTATTGAAGAAAATAAGTTACATATTATAACCAATGAATGGTTAATGACTTTCGCTATCTTATATGGATTCAAAAGATAGTTACAACTTGGCGTCTACAGTTATTAATTGCACCACATACGTATGGTATGTACAGCATAATGGATTATCACCATCGTAACATTTCTCAATTGTATTTTGTGCGCAAATTGCCACAACAAATCGTTGACACATGAAAACAGGTGACGGAAGCATACGGAGAATGGATCATTCTTGTTTTTGTTGTTGTTGTTATTTTCACGTTGAAAACTCGATCGAAGACCGAATTGTATATATATTGTGTGCCTAAACATTTTATAACCAATGAAAAAATGCTTCAATTGATTTCTCCAACCGATGACATGCCGAAAGTTTTGCAATCAAGGCCATCGAATGTAATTACAGCATAAACTGTTTGATTTGTTTTCTATGATTTTCTGGGCTTGTTAGGTTAATGTAATAACATCAGACAACAGGGAAAATGTATTTAATTGTAAACTTCCTGAATTGAGTTGATATTTGGAGTATTTTTCACTCTTGAAAAAATCGAATATTGTCAACTTGTTGCAAAATATTTTGAATTAACACACCAAATCGATTTTTTCTCTCTAAACAATGAATATTTTTTTCTCGATAATTTAATATCATCATACAAAACGTCACGCATTTGTGTGTAGAGATATCACATTTGTAGTATTTGCATAGTACATGTGACTTGAAAATGGATAAATATTGAACATTCTGTTTGCTCTCTGTATTCTGTTTGCTGAGCCATTTCCAGTGAATAATTTGAGAATGATAGATAAGCAAAGAACCAGACGTTGATTTTCATGATTTTTTTTATCACGCGCAAGTGTATTCTAATGATAAATTAAATGTTTATTGGAAGTACCTTGTCATTGTCATCTTCATTTTCGAATTGCACCCAATTTCTGGGTGTGTTTGATTTTCGTTCGGTTGATTCGGCAATTGACGTCTGCAAATTACTTTCGTCTGGATTTTTGGAATTACCATTTAGTGTAGCTGTATCACCATTGCTAAGATCATGCATATGATTTGATTTTAGTGTTTGTCCACTTTCCGTCGAATCGGTATTTCGTACTAAATCGGTTTCGTCTTTGTTACTCATTTTGAGCTTATTCGTTACTTGCCACTTTTTAATGATTGAAGAATTTTTTTTTTAAACACGTATCACAAAATTATTAATTGTATTTTCAATTTTTGTTTATTAAACAACAATGTCCAATTTTTCAACTTGTTTTATTTCATGTGTGCTAGATGAGTCACCCACATAATTAAAAAAACATTCCACTAATATGCCACGAAATACTGCTGGATTAACACTATTTAAAACGAAACACACATTCAACAAATTTTATCAAATATCTACAATCGTAACGTATGATCGATGCTTTTTTATTAAGTTTCTAAGATTCAGTTTTCTTTCTCTTCTCTGGAATTGCACAATAAAGTTGTTTGCTATTTTAGTTTTGCTGGAATAACCGAAGTTTTGCCGTCGCTTGAGTTTGGCGATCTGGGTTGACAACTACGAACTTAACAAACTCAAATCAACAACACACTAATGTAGGATAGTTTAAATAATAATATTCAAAACTTATTCATGCCGAAAACAACAGAACATGCACGCAGACGAGAGCGAACGATGAGAGAAAAACAGGTATCCACTTGCGTTATACCTAAACACGTATATTAACACACCAACCGCAAAGTGACCTGTGAAAATACAACGATAAAGAGATTTTCTGTGTTTATTTTTTGTACACTGTTTCATTTCATTCTCTTTCTCACTCTTTTTGCCCCTTTATGTGTATTAATCATTTCCAACAACAATCGAACCAAAAAGCATTATAGCCATTTCGTGTGCTTATAGTATACTATATATGGCATGGTGGCTCTTGTTCCGCACACACAACAACAAAACCGAAAAACTTAAGTATTCTCTATCTCTTTCTCTTATTTCATTTCATTAAAAGCTATTGAGAGCGTAAAGCAATGTCGATGTTTTGTGTATTGTTTGGTTTGGAACACACACGGAAAAAATCGTGGACTGCAACAGAAAATGAATGAATGCGAACAAGAGAACAATAATGGAGCCAACAAATAGAATTGCTATGCATAAAAGCGAGACGGAAAGCACCGATGTAATGTTGTTCGAATTATGAAATGTTTAAAAAAATTCAACGTGGAAAAAAATCCAACATTGCAGTCACGATTGAAAGCATTGAATTTAGCTCGTAATTCAATTGTAACTCATAAAAATTCTGACATCAACAATGTTTTACTAGTTTTTCGTATATATACATATATATTTTTTTACTTGATTGATATGACGAAGCGTCAAATTGTAACGACATTTCAGAATCACTGTTCATGCACAATTAACGTTAACTAATGAAATTATTGGAATTGAAATCGACAACAGTGATAGCGAGTTTGTATTAATTCGATCGTTGTTGGTGTTTTAGATTAAAAATACAACTTCATTACACTCACCGAATGAGAAAAAAAAAATGAGATATATTAACACATCCTTTGTGTCCGTCTTATCGACGAAACGAAACAAACGAGATTTATGAAACGCACTGTGTGTTTGGTTACTGCTGTTGGTTCTTCGAGAATATATGTGTGGATATCGTTGACACGCAAGGCACACCCAACTTAATTGAAACCTCAATGAGAACTGTTCATTGAGATTCTCTCGGCAGTTACGTGTCTCTTGTACGCGCGAGAGCATTCGATCAAGTTATGCTTATTTTGTTACGTGTTTTGTTTGTCATTTTCATTCTTTTGTTCATATCGTTTCGCTCTTCGGTGATCTTGCTGATCGATGTATGCGCACTCTCTACTGTACATTAAACTAAAGCCAGTTGTGTATGCGTGTATTAACTTTCTTATTCTTGCACAGATTCCGTTCTCTTACCATCTCATTTTTAACAACAATTTCTCTAAACTGTAAATGCAACTAAACCTCCTTTTATCCGGCGATTCACCACTGGAAATAATAATTCGAATTAATAAAAAAAGGAACTGAAGACTTGATTTAACTTGATGGCATTTTTAGACCTTTCTTTTATTATAGAAAACTATCGTCAGAAACTATTTCAGATATTTTTTTTTCTTTTATTTTTTTGAGAAAAAATTCAGCTTCTGCTGGATATAATAGATTAACGATGGTTATCTAATTGCTTAACGCAATGCTTAATAACAGATAAAATTGCTTCACTGATATTTGAAACGGTCAAATTTTCTCGCGGTGATGGCACATGAATAAATAAACTTCGAGCTCGATCGGCATCAAGAGATTTCAGGTAAATATAGCCACATAAGTAGCTGCAAAAATACAAAAATATTGCTATTTTTTTAACATTGTAATCGCACACAATTCAAAACTGAATGACTCACTTTCCCGGATGATTCGAACACTTCATCGGTGCTGTTGTATCAATTTCGCTAATAATATTGTTTAAATTCAGTGTGGTACATATCTTTTCGCACTCCACTCCACCATTCGGTAGCATTACGCTGCAACAATCGGGCAGCTTATTTGAATAATCAGCTTCACGAAAATTCCCATTGAATGCATTCTTTTCCAAGCAAATTTTATCGGCTTTTGCATGAACACCACAATGAACTACCAACTGAAATAATAATTAAAGTAAGATTGTGATTAAATTCATTAGGCCTGGTAAAATTAAACGGATAATTTGATTTGATGAAACCTTCGGTTTGCTGGCCCAAATTTCTTTGACTTTTTGATCGACCGCGGCGTAAGTGACAGGAATTTCGTGCTTTACAATTGGAATTAATTCATTGTTATGCAGTATGTTGTCCGGCAATGCCGAAACAGCCAACCAACTTGGATTTGACTCGGTAAAACCGCGAAACGGCCCAAATCCGGTCACATGTATTACATTCTCGGGATGCTTTTCCATATTGATCAGGTAGCAGGTATATGTGACAGAATTCTGCGAAGAACAAAAATATTTGTCTCATTTTTTTTGTTTTTAAAAATCGCATCGCAAAATCTACATTTCAATCGAGTTCGAAGATAAGAACTTCAAATAAACAAAGTTTTCTGAGTTACTGGATTCATCTATTTATTAATATCACAACTTTGAAACAATGGAAAGTAATTGTTGTGTGCAAAGATTTGGTAACAAACATTTACATTCAGATGTTTGCTATTAACCTTATTAAATGCGAATAGTTCAATAAATTTTATTACGCTGCATGACTAACAAAATTTACAATTACTATTAATTCGCTATTACTATTTCATCATACCAATCAGCTGTTTGTTCTGTCACCAAAAATAATGCTTATTTTATACTTGGAATATTACCACGAATTAATATTTTGGATGACAAATTCCATCACCTTGTAATCAATTATTTATCGTATGAAATCATTATCAAACTAAGATAGCGAAGTTAATTTTGTGTTTGGTGAGTCGAATAACAACATTTGACATTTGAAAGTCGCCTTAGCGTTGTCACAGTCTTTCAAATTCGCATTAAGATTCATTCACACTTGAGCATGCAATATGAAACATGAATGTTTAAAATCTGTTCTAAATCTTCTAAAAATTTCAAATCGCGGTACTATCATGAAAAAAATAATAATTTTGTATTGTATTTTTTTATGATTGCGATGCAATTTGTCAATATGGCCGTTTCGTGTGAAGAACGCTTGAATTGAATTGAAAAATAAAGAAAGTGTCAATCGCAGGTTCTTATTCAAATCCAGTTTTCAATAAAATCTATCCAAAATACTCAATAATATTCGCTCAAAATATAGAATTTTATTTCAAAACTTTTCAAAAATACAATAATCGGCTAAAAGCCTTTATTTTTGCGGCCATTCAAACATATGCGGAAACAAAAACACACGCAACGTCACAAAAAAGTAGACAATTTAAGAGAATTTAGTATGAACCATTGTTATAATACTTATTCGCAACGGGTTCTTGAACTATTTGAATTTTTCCAATAGAACCAATTTATTCAATACAAAAAAATTGCTCATGGTTTACTTAAATATTAAGTGGATTGGAGTTGGCAACACCTTGTGCACTGCAAATATTTTTCGAAATTTGTGTATATTGAGGATAAATAGTGGTATAACGGGCATCATGTATTTTCTTATTATTAAGTGTGCATCGTTCAGCGGCTTCTGTGCACCATGCTTTGGCCAAAAGTTTTTCATGTTCAGCTGAGTCCAAGCCCAATTTAATTGTTCGTGAACATCTTGATAGAACACAACCCATTGCGTAAATATCGATAGCGCTGTCGGCTAGACATTTCAAAATGAATTGTTGTTCGATGATATTTTTACCATATTTCACAAGAAGACTCTCCACCGTTTGTCCAAATATATCAATTGACTGTAAATTTTGTGAAAAATAGAAGAGATGAACCAAAAATTCAATGCGTATTTTCAAAGAATTGTAGAATTTTAATTAATCACAATACAAACCTGTGCACACAACTTGGCTGCATCGGCAAGACTTGGATCGACTTGTCCTGATAGATCGACACCTCCAATGCCGGCTTTGCGATAAGCTCTTTTTGACACCTCCTTGAATAATAGTCCCAGATTATTTGCTGGATTTTTCAATGCCTTTTGCAGTTCTTTCAAGTGTGCACCGGCATATTGGATGCCAGATAGAGCAACAAATAGGCGAAGAATATCGTTTGAACCTTCAAAGATACGGAAAATACGCAAATCACGAAGAACACGCTCCAATCCAGTGTTTTTCATATAACCCATGCCCCCGAGAATTTGGATCGCTTCATCACATACGTACCACGCTGATTCGGATGCGAAAACTTTTGAAATTGCAGCTTCCAAATGGTAGTCTTTACTTCCACCGTCCATATTGCTCGAGATCATAAATGCCATTGATTCAGTTGCATATTGATGCAATGCCATTCGTGCCAATTTTTCTTGGATTGCACCATATTCCTCTATTTTCTTTCCGAATTGTACACGTTGTGATGCATGTTCGGCAGCTTTTTGGATACATGCAGCCATTGTGCCCGACAATGATGCAGCCATTCCGAATCGACCATTGTTCAAAATATTCATAGCCACTTTGAATCCGTTTCCCACGCCGCCCAATACGTTTTCAATGGGAATTTTCGTATCTTCAAAATACACTTCGGCCGTATTTGAGCATTTGATACCCATTTTCTTCTCTGGTGGTCCATTGGTAACACCGCCAAATCCACGCTCAACAATGAACGCCGTAATTTTATCCTTTTTCTCACCAGTTTTTGGATCAGTCGCTTCAGTTTGTGCAAAAACTGTCATGACGTTGGCCCATCCACCGTTCGATATCCAAATCTTTGATCCGTTCAAAATATAATGTTTTCCATCGGGCGATAGAACGGCTCGTGAACGAATGCTTGCGGCATCTGATCCAGAACTAGGAAACAATTAAAAAGATAACGATTTTCATACATATTACCAAAAAGTGTTATTATTTTGATTACCTTGGCTCCGTTAAAGCAAACGCAGCATAGACTTTTTCAGTTGACACTTTTGGTAGATACTTCTTTTTTTGCTCATCCGTTCCATACAATAAAATACCTTTGAAACCAATGCTTTGGTGTGCACCAATGCAAATACCGACTCCAAGATCATTTGCGCCCACAATTTGGCATAATCTACCATATTGTGTATTATTTGCACCCATCCCGCCAAGTTCGGTTGGAACTTGTATCGCAAATGCGCCAAGTTCCCATAATGCATCCAAAGTTTTTTGATCGATGTCAGCGCTATCATCATTTTTGAATGGATCGTTTATATCCTGAAAAGCATAAAATTGTGTAAAATTGTACGCAATGAATGTCACACATTTCCAATGTGTTCAATACTTACAGAAAAGAAGCGTGAAACGGGGTCAATGACCATACTCAATGTTTCGCTTTCTTCTTCGGTCAAATTGTATGGATATGGAAAAACTTGAGACGATTCAACTTTGCCTCGGAAGAAATTGGCCACGAATGATTGAGATGGAGCTACAGCCTTCTCAACTTTCGCTTTTGGTGGAGCTTCATTCAATTTGGCCGAAGAAGCTAGACATCTATACAAATGAATCATCAATTAAAACAAAAAGCTAAAAATTTGTTAAGAATAAAAACGTTATCAAAGTTCACTACGAACGTAATGATGCTCGCACACGCCTCGAAATGTGTAAGCAATGCTTATGTAAGATAATAAAGTTTTTTTTATTTTGACGAACGAAAAGAATTGGGAAAAAAAAAAAAAAACATTTGACATCATATCTGTTGATAAAATAGACCGAAAAAAATGTGTTTTGCTTTGACGCTACATTATTTTCACGATCACAATGTCATATTTGTCGGGGGTCAAACTATATTCATACGATCCGGCTTGCATATGTATGCTAAGACAAATAAATATAGAGAACAGCGTTCAAAACAATCAACATAAACACCACACAGACGTATCGCGCATTTGGACAGGTTTCAAAACACGACCTATATAGATACTTTCTATATAACGTCACATCGTCGTTAATGAAAACAGTTCCAAAGGTTATTTTTCGGTTTGACTGTGAGAGAGATTCACCAATCAGACAATAATTTGATTGACCAGCGCTTGCAATATGCTATAAACTTGCTATGATTTGAAATAATGATATATTGAAGTAATTGAGAAAATGCGGACGTGTGAGTCCAAAGTACAGAGAACTTATGAAAAACAGTTATTGGAATTCTGATCTAAGCAGTGAAGACTTCTTGATACCGATTTCATATGTTCAATGTTATCAATCGACACGAGTTTATTTCACCTTTTTTTATTTCAAGACTATCAAGGCGGATGCTTTTTTTTAATGCAATGCTTGAACTTTGTTTTAAAACTATACGAAATCTGTCTGCTCACCTTGAATTTGCATTGATTGCAATTAAACAGTTTTGGTTTCGTAGAATTTGACTGGTTAAACGAAACATTTTGATAGAAATTCTAAAGAATTCAATTGATTTTTTTTTTCAAACTTTTTTACTTAATGACGAGAGATGAGTTTAATAATAAAAAAGTGGTGTCTAACCGTCGATTGATTTTCGTTTTATAAAAAATAAATTGTGATCTATCGTTAATGGCTGTGAAAATCGAACTGAAAGTTGCATGAAATGAGTTATTCTACAAGTTACTTCAGATAATTTTGTTTTTTTCCATTGGTGGCACTGCGAAATGTCACAACAAATTGGATTTATTATACCTGCCAAACTTAAGGGAATTTACTTTTGATCTGTGCCGAAACATAAAATTAAAAAATATATATATTTATCTGTCGTTAAATCAAACACAAAAAAGATATCAAAAATGAAATGAATAAATCCATTTTTTCGGTTGCAACATAATGTTAATTACAACCGTTCCAAATGTGCAACAACTTCACGTTCTTTTAAAGGCATAATTCATAATTTTGTTGCTTTTCCTTTGCACCATTTACAAAAATGTCATATTATTTTTATGTTTTTAAGTTAAAAATGATCTCAAATTGAATTTTAATTAAAAGCAAAAATGGAGAATGTAAAACGAATGGGTATGTAAATTTGAAACCGAAAGAAAAATGGTTATGTCTACTGTTGTTGACAGCAATGTAACTGTCAAAATCATATAGGCAAAACGAATGAATAAGTAGAAGCAAAATCCAATTGAAGGAAGTAAAGAGTGCAAGTGAGTCGACTACAACTACTGGGAAAGTTCATGGCTATCACCGCCTATACGTTGATTTATTTTCGTAGTATATCGTTTCATCTCTTTTTTTTTCACTATTGCTTCGCATATAAACACTGTGTGAGAGATTTTCCACACATTGTTTTTCGCATCCTTCGTTCTCACACACGCAGAGACGACGACGACAGAAGAAGAAAAAATTTTTCCCGTGTATGTTATAGTTTGCGAAAATTAAACAAAACCATTGCAGTACGAGTTGCACAGTTCGATTGGCAAAGTGAAGAAATCGTTTTGGAAAAATGCTCCAATGAGTGAACAATTTGTTGATGCATTTGTCAATACCAATTCATAGATAAGATTTATTTTTGATAAATATTGTGTGTAGAAGTGTGAAATACTCAAAGATAAAATGATGGATCGAACAATGTTTAATCCATCGGGTGATGATGGTGTGATATCTACAAACGATGATGCGAGCGGATGCAAAAGACATGCAGTGCGTGTGGGATATTGGAAAGACGATTATATTGGTTCATTTGTGAGTAATACAGATAGAAAAGCACCTGAAATAAATCGTGGGTACTTTGCTCGCGTCAAGGGCATCGAAATCTTCATCGACAAGTTCTTAGAGGTATGTATTTTGTGTTTGCATCGCGTGTTGCAATAACCTTGGATTTGAACTTAGAAAGCCCATTTTAATCAATTTTGGTCTACTATGTTATCACTTTGTCCTTTTCCGTTGCTCCTTCACACGTTATCTAATTTGATTTTCCGATAGAAAACTGGCGACAAATGTCAAATCATAAATTTGGGCTGCGGTTTTGATACGCTTTATTGGCGTCTTCGAGATGCTGGCCATATGATAACCAACTTCATCGAGTTAGATTTCCCAATGGTGACATCGAGAAAATGTATGGCAATCAAACGACACAAGAATCTTCTATCGAAACTCCATTGCGAAGGTAAATCCAAGAAACTGTTCGAGAAGTAGATAAGAGTATTTACGTTTGTTTGACTTTTTATTTGCCGTTGTTAAATAGATGGTGAAGTACGTTTCAATCCAACTGATATGCATGCAGCAAATTATCATGTGATGGGCGTTGATTTGCGACACATCGATGAAATCGAAAATAAATTAAAACAAGCCGAAGTGGACTTTACGTTGCCAACATTGTTTTTGGCCGAATGTGTCTTGGTGTACATTGAAAGTGAACACTGCTCAAATCTCTTAAAATGGTTGTCTAGTCATTTTTCGTCAGGCTTTATTGTAAATTATGAACAAGTCAATATGAACGATCGTTTTGGCGAAGTTATGCTCTCCAATTTACGATCACGTGGATGCGATTTGGCTGGCGTTGAAGCATGTCAAACTCTCGATACACAGATCGATCGGTAAGCTAATAAGAATTTTTTCATTTAATTTTCTATTCTCCTCTCTTCCCACAACAATTGGCCTCCAATTGGTCTAATGGTTTTTTTTTACTTTTGTTGTTGTTGTACATTTGTATCTTTTGTTTTCATCATTTTTTAGATTTTTAAATTGTGGTTGGCATGGAGCCAAAGCATGGGATATGGTTCAAGTTTATCAAAGCTTACCATCGAATGAAATACAACGCATAGAAAAACTTGAACTACTCGATGAGGCTGAATTGTTGACACAACTTTTTCAGCATTATTGCATATCGATTTCCTGGACCGGTGAAGAATTTGAAGACATTGAAATTACCTAACTGAATATGTCATGTGTCGAATCGTATGTGTATGTATAAGTCATCGTTTTTTTCTGAATTTCATCGTTATTCTGTCATTTGATGCGTCTGGCGTAATTTGTTGCAATGAACAAACATCACTCTTACCAACAAATTTAGAAAACATTTGACGAATGGTTTAGTCGAAGAAAAGACATAATTAAGCAAATCTTATGATTTCGTTCTTCAATTATTTATTATTGAACAAAAAAAATCATCTACTCTTTAATATAATATAATTATATTCGATTGCTAGAAGAAAAAAAAAGACAGAAAAAAACGAAAACTGTTCAGATAGGACAATCAAATTTAAGCAAATGAAAAAAAAAATTAAACCAAATGGTGTAGAACACTATCGACTAGAACCAGTACACCAATATTTGAACACGAAAGCAAAACAAAAATATTTTATCATTGTGTTTACTGTTTACATCTTTCTTCTTTCTCATTCGTTCTCTTTCATCTGAATGTCTGAAAACATATTGTAATGTAAAACTCGATGTAACAATTTCAAAATGGTGTATGTATGTAAAAAAAACTAATCGTGTGCATGTGAGATTTCAAAATTGAATTGGAAACCAAATTTTGTTGTATAAATTTCTCTGGAGGTGGTGTAAAAACGAAAGTACAATAAAAAATTGAAAATATATTACATTAATTGTACGGAATTTCGTCTTTTATTTTCATATTTATATAGTATTAAACACATTCCAATAAGATTTTTGAATTCAGTTGGAATTTCTCATGAAATTATTACCTTGCAGCAGAGCAAGAACAGAAGACCAATTGCATTAATCAAAATTTCAATGTTATGACCATGAACTCAAGGTTTTTACTATGACTTGAAAAAAAAAAACTTGAACTTTGCCTACTAAGCAACAAGATTTGAACGTATGCACAGTGCATGGAAATGCGTGGAAAATGCTAGAAATAGCACACATGCGGGCGATATGCATCGTGCATGCAAGCGTGCATGTGAACTGTACTTTCCATTTGTATTTCTTTCTGTATGCATATTTCAACTGCATATATTCACTGCACGAACGTTGCAATCCTTTTTTCAGTCCAAATTTGCAGATTTTATTCAAGAGAAACAGCTAGTGAATAAATTATTCATTTTTTTGTGCCTAAAAATACAGAGATTTTTTTTCATTCGGAAAATTATTTGTTTAATATTTAATTTATCACATAGTTGAATTGCAAGCATAATCTCTGTCAATATTTTAAGAGAAGAATCAACGTGAAAGTGCAATTATTTTCAGTGCGAATAATGAAAACAACAACTAAATCATAAGGTCAACAGTATTAAAGAACAAGATATTTTACATCCCAGAGGAAAAAAAATCTTTTTATATCTATAGTTTCAAATAATTTCCTAATTTTTGCTCTGGATTTGGCGGTTTTGTGTATCAATACTATCCATCTATCTCTATCATTTGGTTCTATCAATATTTTGAATTTCCTCTTATAAGGTTGATTTAAAAAAAAACTCAACGAACTAACATAAATGATTTAAAAAAGTTCAAAGCATCAAAGCATCGATTGTTCATCTCTTTGATTAATTATTTAATTAAACACTAATACAATAGTAAAATATGGAGCCGACTGTTAGGCAATTTACGTTTGAAAAATAAAGAGAGTGTAAACGCACCCTTATTCTGACGTTTACTGTCGTTCTTCCGTCACATAGTCAACACAAATATTGTCTATATCATACGTATCGTTTTGTTGATCCGTAACTTTTGGTGGCTAAAATCTCGTGATTTAAGGAGATTGTTCGTTGAAAAGAATATTTCCACACATTGTGTAAATGTAAGATCTTGGTGCTCATAAGTGACAAATTGAAATTCAAGCAACAATTGAGAAGTCATGAGAAGATTGATGTGAGATTTAGTATGTGAACATACTACAGATGTTATGAAGGATTCGATGTAAATCCACCTGAATTTGTGCATTCTTTTACTGAACAAAAAAAATATAAAATAGAAAAGTGGAGTACAGAACTAAGAAAAGATGAAAATGTTCAGGAATAGGAAATACTATATGCTTGATCTCGTCGAATTTCAGCGTCGAATGCGAAGGCAATTCGAAGGGAATATAAACTATCGTAAATTAATTTTAATATTGTTCCTATCCGCTATCATTTTTTTATACATCGGACCATACATCTTCTCGTGGCTTTTTGGTTCCACAACAAAACCAATACGTAAGTCGTTTTATATTGAAATTCATTGCAACGTCAAATTAAAAAGAAAATAAAAAAACACATGAACAATTATTTGTATTTGTTCAGTGATTGGCACATAGCGTGAGCAATTGTATTGCCGTGCGATAATCGTGTAATTCCTTTTTTTCTTTTCAGATTTAATGTCACGGTGTATGGACGATCGTTTAACACCATTTTACTCAAAAGCCCTTGAGTTTAATGCGCACATTCAACACATCTCCGACTCAATAGGTCATTCAACCCTACCGACAAACCTACGCAATATTCCATATGTTGGTAATGGATATTTCGGTATTGAAATTGACAAAACTGCTGCATTTTATGTGAAATACGGACGACACTTATCACAACCAATCAATTATCAGCCAATAGTTAACTTTCGGTATTTAGATTCAAGCGACAGTTCATTTGACGAACCGCACGGAAAGCAATCAATTGTTGTTGATTACACAAACGGTGTTGTAAATCATTTTCAATGTTTTGGAAATGAATTTTTCATATCGAGTGATTTTTATGGTAAATTTTATCGACTTTACTTAAAATATTCAAATGTATCTCATCAATACATTGAATAGTATCACGTAATTTATTCTTTGTATATTCGTTTTTAGCCCATCGCGTTGTTCCGCATGTATTTGTTCAAGAGGTGAAATTAACAAATACCCGAAACAAACCATTTAACGTGGACGTCGAATCATTTGGACCAAGCACTGAATGGTCGAGTTCAAAAACGAAATACATCAAGTATGTGAATCAAAAAGTTTATCAAATTACTTTATTTAAACCAAATGAATTATCTCATTTTTTTAAAATTCAGATTGAAGCAACCATCGACAGAAAAATTAATCGAATTTTCGGTAACAAATGGATTTTTTGAATTGCCCAAGAATGGTGAAAAATTGAGTGTGACCATAGTCAGTCAACGATTACCATCGAAAATAGCGCTAAAAACGCGTGGCATTACAAAGATAGACATAATTCATGTCATTTATTATAGTGTGAAACAAAAAGCGGACGACAATGAATCGGCCGCCATTGCAACAATGACACAAATTGTGCAACAAAACTACTTCAATTTGATCGAAAATAATGATGCAAGCAATAGTAGCCCATCGAACAAATTTCAAACGCAAACAAGATTCAAGCGACAACACACCAATGTGTGGAAATCGCTATGGGAAAGTGGTTTCGAAATCAGTACATCACTTGCGGACAATGTTATCAATGGGGATCAAATAAATGCAACCATTTATGCCGTCTTATCACAAGTTCGTTCATTTGAATCGGAGACAGGCAGTTCAGAACAATTTCGAAAGGAAATGGTCAAGTCACTGGCATACGCCGAAGGATGCTATGACGCATATCATACATTACAAGCCGGAAATCTATGGAAAGATATGAGCGATATACAAGAAATGAATAAAGTAGTCAATTCATGGCTATTAACACTAGAGAAACAAGGATGTCACAATCTTATCAAGGCCGGTGCAAGCGGCGTTCTCCAAGCAATGGTACTTAGTTTTGGTAGTTTTCGATTCAGTAATCAGCATTTGGAATTGAACATTCATCCGAAGTATTTACATCGAGATTATTTTTTTCGACGTTTAAACTATGGCAATATGACTCACATTAACATAAGCATTGAAGTGACAGAAGACAATCATGCAATTATGTATGTGGCGCTCGACCGATCTGATGGCATCTATTATGCGTGCGACGCTGGATGTTTAGATGAACCTGTTCCATTGTCGTAAGTTACATTTTTTGATAATCTCTACACATCGTCTGGATGACCCAATTTGATTTGATTTGATTAGGCAAGATCGAAAGATGTTTCCAGTAAAATTGACTGAACCACTTACAGCAATTTTGTATATAACCCAAGATAAGGACCATGTCTTAGAATTGAAGAATGCCATTCATGTCAAGGAAGTGGCTGAAGGTTGGTGCGTTTTCAGTTTTGTTGTTGCAAATCTTATTAAAATCATTTCTCTTACCTTACAGCGCCAGCTCATGAAAACCATGTCATTTTGTTACATAAACATGGACATCAATTGGGTGGTCTTCCGACATTTTTTTGGATTTCAATATTCGTCATCATTATTGTTTTTCATATCTTTTTATGTAAACTTATTATTAAGGAGTATTGCGACTCTCCAGATGCCCTTCGTCGCTATCGATATGATAAACCGTGAACGAATTTGGTTTTGGCCCATTGTTTTGGTGGTTCTGTGATCAAAGTGTTATTAGAAATGACATTCGTTTTTGACAATAAATTGAACAAAAAGAAAACATCTTATTTATACACATTAGAACTGAGTTGAGAATGTTTTTTTATTTTGAATTATAATTCAATCTTAACTTATGCATTGCAAAAAAAAAACTCATGGAATAAATAAGAGAATGAAAAAAAGGATAGAATAGCTAATAAGCTTAAGCTAATAATTATTGTTTCTAAAATAAAGCGTGAAAATGTTGAACAAAAAAATACTTATTACTTAAAGTTAAATCCTATTCATTTCTTGGTTCAAAAACAGCACCTTAGGAGAAAAGAAACTCAATATTAGTCATATGAGAACTAAATAGCAATATATTAATTACAAAAAATTAATGTAATTAATTACTTGAGAGAAGTGAATAAAATTTATTGTAAATACAAACCATAAAAAATTGGAATTTTTGTATCTTCGTGTCTGATCAAAAACAAGAATGGTGTTTCAGCTCGGAAAAAGACATCAGGCCCCGATCGCCGTAATGTTGTGACTAAAAAAAGAAAAGCAAAAATGAATGACATGATGAGCGATTTCAAAAATGGACGCCATACCTGTAGCTGCACCACCTTTGGAGAAAAATTATAAAAAAAGATATATTTTCTAAAATGTATATAAGTAAAAAAATGGAATGATAATTACCTTCAGTGCCGACTTCATTCACGGTTAAATCTATTTGATGAATGAGTTCATCAGCGTATAATCGAGGATTTGGATAATGTTCGGAGCTGAGCCGTGTTCGCAATAAATCCAAGCGCTTCAAACTCATTTGTTGATCAGATATATTTTCCACTTCTCGACGATTTCGGCCAATTAGCTTTTTTTGTAGATAAGATTTGGTTATTCTCTTTTTTATCACAACATCTTTCAACCGTAACGGTTCTCTGTCTGTATGAAAGTCACTGTTAATTGTTTTAAATGTCGCCGCTGATCGTCTTTCACGCTTTGTGACACTTTGCACTGTCGCTGTTTCATTTGTCATATGTTTACTTTCAGTTTCAGCGAAACGGTTAAATATAAACGGACTTTCTTGATACGGTATTGTTTCAATGCCAGTTGAAATCAATGACAAGTCACTTTGATCGTAATTGAACAACGAACGTAATCCCATACGATTTAGAATTTTCTTCAAATCAATACGATTTGTGATATGCAATTTTGGAAAAAGAATTATTGCGGTTTTCATTTCCATTTTGGAAATCATCGATTCAATCTTATCAGCTGTCAATGTGGCTTGGAAATGTCTCAGGCGTTGACGCGTTGAATTATTTGGCAATATTATGTACATGGTTGTTAAATGTTTACGATAAGGCAATCCGATTATTCTACAATCAAATTCTTGGCTGTCATAAAATGGATATGAACCGCCCGTCGCCATCATTTCTACAAAGATCTATATAAAAAAAATCAATTCAAACATTATGTAAACTGTTATTCTAATTCTATTATGATATTACCGGAGCCCGACCAATTCCATAAGGATAGAACTCTTTTCTGCAAAAGAAAACATTCATTTTTTCATTCACTTTTTACAGTATTTGATCAGTATACATACGGTTTCGTCAATCCTTCCAAAAACATCCGTTCCCAAACAGCTTTGAAATATAACGCACCTTAGGAGAAAGAAAAAAACTCAATATTAGTAATATGAAAACTAAATAGCAATATATTAATTAATAAAATAAAACGCACTTGCAATTACTGATTTTGTTGTCGATGATAGCGGATCTGAAATAATCTCTTTGATTTTATTTTGCGTTTTCTCTTTGACCCAACTGAAAACAATCAAAAATCGTTTTAAATTGATTTTGAAAAAAAAAAACCTTGAAATCTGTGTGTATCAATTAAAAACAAACAAACCTATTGATGTATTTGCTTGATAGTTCCGGCTTATTAGCAAAGTCCAATCTTTGCAATGTACTTTTATAGACTGATTCTATCGCGCTTCGATAGTCGTCTCTTATGAAATAACCATTTTGAAAAAATATCCCATTTGCAATTTGTATTTGCTGATACGATTGATTTTGGTTTTTGTTCTCATCTCTGTTTTGTTGATGATTTTGTGTCCAGAAAACAGGACGTCGTCTTCTGCCGGGATGCGGAATGTCGCGATTTAAATCATCAATCATCAGAGAAAATTCTTCATGTACTTTCCACGTGTTTTGCGATAGGTAGGGATCTGATTTTAAATAAACAATTTATCATTGCAAGACTAGCATTGAAAAACAAGTTTTATGTATTGAGCTAAATGAATCATACCATTGTTAATTTTCAAAACGTTCATTAGTTCTTGGAAAGTTTGACCGTTTGCGCCCATCAACAAAGTACTCAATGCTGAATAAATGCAGAGTGGTGAAAAAATCTCCGTTTTATCGCTATCTTGCAGAACTGTCGTTCCGATTTCTTGTGACAGCTTTAACATATTACTAGCCAATAACTCACTAACTCGGGCATCAAATCTTGGATCTGTACTGCTCTCATCATCGTTTGCAAACACTATTAAAATTGGAGCCAATACTAAAAAGCTCACGCCTATCGTTTTGAGCGTTTTCATCTTGCACACTGAAAATACACATATATTTGAATTTCAGTTTATTCAGCCATTGAACACAGGGATATATTCAAAAAAAAAGTTTAATTAAAGATCAAAATTAAAAAGTAGTTAATACATTTAAGTCTTGTGCCCAATCTCTCCGTTAACATTCAATTCATTGTTATAACGATCCCATCGTGAAATATTTTTCTTTACTTACATCACTTATACCAATATGTGACTCATAAAAGGATAGTTTTTTTCTGTTAATATCCATTTGGAATTCCCCATTGTGTTCACAAATCTATGCTAAGCAGCGCGTGTACGCTGATTGTTATGCACTGGTAGTTGTATTTTTATATACATGCTCTATGCTATATCATACCGGTGAGTAATTTTAAAATAGGTTTATTATACTAATGGTAAGTAATAACAATGGGTACGGTATGAATGCCGCAAAAACGATTTTCGCACTTTTAATAGTCAAGTGGTCGTACTTCGAAGTTATTGCGTTGTCTATGTATTTGATTGAAATATGGAAATCTAATTTTAATAAAATGCAAATAATCACATGCGATACATGATAAGTAAGCAAGCTAAAGAGTATTACGGTAGAATCTCTTTTCCTAAAATTGTTAATGGTGTGATTCATATGAAAATATTGCGCACAATATTTATCGTTGTTTGTATTCGTTGAACGAGAAGAAAGAAATATATCACACAAATAAATAGTCATACATCAAATCAACAAGTACAACAATGTAAATAACTCTTTTTACAGTTTCGCACGATGATAGCATCAGCATTTAAAAAAAATCGATCGACAGTCTGTCATGCGTTGAAAAAATGTTGAGAAATATGTTGATTTTTTTTGTGGGAATCAGACATTAGGCTCGAGCTATGCATATAGCGGCTGCTATTTTATAGGTGCTATTCATAGGCGCTATTTAATTCGTGTGCTGTGTGTAACACCGAGTAGGAATATCATAGCCTACTATTCTTTTGTACATTTGAATGTGAGTACGAGAGAGATGTAGAAAATAACGCACAATATGCATAAATGCATTAAAACGAGATAAATAGCGCCTATGAATAGCGGCTATGAAATAGCAGCCGCTATATCCATAGCTCAAACCTAATGTCTGGTGGGAATGAAATGAAATACGATTTGTGAAAATTGAAACGGTAATCTGATGGACAAACGAAGTATGCGATTTACTTTGTCTTAATTGGGTAGGTATTTAAGTATTTATCTATTATATTCGGTGTCATAAAGCTGATCTAAAGTGAATAAAAAAACCGCTATTGAAACCTACTTCACATGCAAATTAACACATACATATTGAAAATGTACATAAATGCAATAGTATTGTACATTTCGTTTATATATATGTTAATTTAATTTTTTATTACTCCAACGAGTTTGTTAAAACCTAGGTTAAAACGGAGGTAAACGGGCACAAAATTAGTAGATTCTAGATTTTTTTTACAATTTCTTTACACTGCAAAGATTTTATCGTAAACGAATGCATACTTTTTAAATGTGCTGATTAGCGGAGAAAAACAATTTGTTATCAAAAATTGCGGTCAAATTAAATTTTGACCTTCGTTTTCAGCGATACAAGCAAACAAATTTACAACAAAAACTGAATGCCTGTGAATGTCATCAAAACATGCTATTGTACTTGTAATTTTCGTTTTTGTTTGTTATTTACTCGAAACAAAAAAAGCGATTGGATTATTCAATGCACACTTTATTCATAACCATCTTACCAGCTTTGTTTTCCTTGCAATCTTCACTTAATGGTTTCCTTTTTGTATAGATTTTTTTTCGTACAATATTCACACAGTTAATAAGAAAAATATAAAATTGCCTGCGGCTTGCATTTATAAAAACACACAATTACACGCTTTTCATCTACACTGAATTTATTGAACAATCCATTTTGATGGTTTTCTGATGCTCCAGACTAATTTGCCATTCGATGAATGAATTTCAGCGTAAGTTGGCTCGTCAATGATGAATGATCCTCTGTAAAATACGGAAAAATTGCAATCGTGTTTTCAACTGAAGAAAACACTCATGACTATAATCGCATATAAATTGCGTTTACTGGTTTGCCTTGTGATTATCGTATAGCTTCGAGAAAGAGAGACGCATACCGCGCATAAACCAGACAAAATATGTGCGAATGAATTTTTAACGTTTATTTCTAATCGGATTTAACCTTTGCGTTACGTTTTATTTTAATAGTTACGTTTTTTTTATTGTCTCGCTGTGATGTTATGTAATGTTTTCTAGTGTTACTGCTGTTAATAATAATAATAATGGCGATGATTTCTGTGTATGTTACCGCACGTTTCGCAGTGAATCGTTCGCACACAGTTTCGCACGACTAAATGATCTTGAGCGACTGACTGATTTGTCGTCGAGTCGCTTGGCTTATATAGATTGTACAAATTACACACATGACAAATAAAACATCTTCATCGCTCGGGTTTTACCATTGCGCTGTGTTTATGTGATTTAGGCATTGTGTTTACATGTACATTTACCGTTCTTTACGTGTCAAGAAAATCTTCGATCATATGAAATATGTGTTAAAAAGACGTAACAGCTTCAGTAGAACTAGCAAGTGCAAACCCATAAGCAATACCTTTGTGATCGCTTGAAAACCATTATGATTATTAAATTAAATTAAGAATATTATAATATATATATAATCACGAGGGACGGCAGTTAATGCTATATGCAAACTTACAATAAATTATAAACTTACATACATAGTAACATCATACTTTTAACAGCCTCATGGGCCAATTACAAAAAGTATTTGGCTATTTTTATGTTTAACTGGTTATAAAAGAAATTTATTTATTTTTATTATTTTTTCATAAATGTTTGAAAGAAAGAAGGAAAGTGTGAATAGGATTTTCCAAAAAAAAAAAATCTTTAGTACAATTTAATTAATTTTGCAAAAATACGATATTATCAGTTATTCTCTAAAATAGATATTTGCTCTACATAAAAACCGTTTCACTCTCTAATTATTGGAAAAAGACTTTATGGCAAAGTAATGATATCGAGAGTAAAACTGCTTACGAGAGCGTTATTCCAATTACAATTACAATTGCATTCCCCAGCAGTAGACTGAGCTTAAGTTAATTTAGTCAATAATTTGTAATTATTAGAGATTGGTTTAGGTCGAAGATAGAGTAACGTCTGAAAGCATTGAGGTTTGTCTCATTGAGATTCAAATTATTAAAACATTCGACATGCTGGCGATGCATACGTAAGGCAGGACTATAAAATTCTACATTTGTTGTGACAATTGGCAAATAAAACGTTCTGTTAAATCTCATTGTTCGTAGTTGGTGTGGCTGATAATTGTGAATAAACTCTAAATATGCCATTTGTGATTTTGAAAAGAATTATTTCATCAGATAAAATCCGTCTATTCTCCAATGAGATTAATTCTAGTCTTATGAGTCGCATGTTATATGTTTCTGTGGGAAAATGAAATATCCTAAAAACCATTCTTGTGAACTTTTTTTGAACTCTTTCGATTGCATCAATGTGAATTTGATAATATGGACTCCATATTGTTGACGAGTACTCTAATATACTTCTGACGTATAGATAGTAAAGGATCTTATACGTTTCAATATATTTAAATTTATTTAAAGACCTAGATATGAACCCAAGCATTCTACATGATCTGTTAACAATATTTTGAAAATGACCATTAAACGATAACTTAGTATCAAATTGCACTCCCAGATCCCTAATGGTATACACTCTATTCAATGCTGATCCGTTGATATTGTAGTTGAAATGCTGAAATGTGGCCTCGTTTCTTCTTGTGAAAGACATGACATAACAATGAAATATGTATATTTTGCGTCACTCTATAATATAGCCTATATATACGTTAAAGACATGAAAATCTAAGTCGCTGACTTTTGGAAAGGGGTTTTTGCATATTTTAGTAGTGCTCAGGCACCAAATTAAGAAACCGCATTTTTTTTAATTCAAAATTTGGCCACCAGGTGGCATTTTGAAAAAATCGCTGAAAATGCCTTTTTCTCCATTTTTGACCACCGAAATTATTTTTTCGAAAAAAAATATGGCCATATTCGGGATCTAGGGACTGCATAGATAATGTCAAAAATAATCATCATGACCAGTTGAAAAGTGGTAAAATGGGCAAAAACCTCAAAATTGGCCAGATAGTATGTTTGTATGACTGCATTTTTCTCCGTACCTTCTTTTAAATTGTGTGAAATTATTTTTTTCGAAAGTAGACTGAAAAGTGAGCAAACTATACTTTTTCAGTTTCAAAAAATTCGTTGCGTAAATGGGCCTCCCCCTATCCAGCCTGGCAAATTTTTGCGATTGCCTTGAAACCTTTTTAGGGATTTACCATTTTGGTTAGTGACTAATTTGTGATAATTTGTGACACCAATATTTCGGCCCATGGGAATAGACCTTCGGCCAATTTTGGCCATTTTTCTATTTAGGCCTATTGGCAAAAAAGTCTCTTAGTGAAATTTTGAATAAAAGCAAAAAATAAAAATATAATGATGCAGAATTTTTGTGATTAATTTGTGACTCACAAATATGACTTTAGATTTTCGATACGACATCTGGTGGACATATTATGAACAAAAAATTGAAAAATGCACAAAAATGATTTTAATCGAAAATTTGAAAAGGACCACTTTTTCAAATATGCCACCAATATATTCCACTTATTCCACTATATTATATAAAATACTCTTGTAAATACTAGAGTACTAGCTAGAGTACAAGTACTTGCTAGAGTACAAATGGTAAAATACAATATATATGAAAAGAAAATGTTTCAATGAAAAACCGAAAAAATGGTTTTTTCTTGATTTGTATAATTAAAAAAAAAATGTTTTATTTTATTTTTATTGTGTGTTTTATTTATTTATTTATCCGTGGATTATGAACATTAACCTAATTTTGAAGAATAAGTTCATTGTGCAAGAGTACTAGATTTGTACTAAAATCTAGTACCAAATATCAACGAAAATTTTATACTTGACATAACCTCTTTTTTGACCACATTTATTTGAAGCGTCTCAAACATGGTAAGTTTGCTTCTTTTCACATATTTTAAAAATATTTTATTTAAAAATTAGAATATTTAAAAAAATTTACTAGAATAAATGTGGTCAAAAAAGAGGTTATGTCAAGTATAAAATTTTCGTTGATATTTGGTACTAGATTTTTGTACAAATCTAGTACTCTTGCACAATGAACTTATTCTTCAAAATTAGGTTAATGTTCATAACATCCCTGCGACATGACAGTGTATTGCAAAAAGTGACATGGTGGCGCCATGTACAACATGGTGGTGAAAGAACAAATTTTCATGTAAGAGCATGTACGACCACATTATTGATGTTAGTTGTTATCAACTTGGATGAAATAATTTGTGGTCGCAAATGCAAAATGTGCCTGGTCGAAAAGAGTGATCATAAAATTTATCTATTTTCAAAAATAAAATGTTTACAATTAGAAAATTCCTTGCGATTTCATCATTTTTGTATTTAAAATTTATTTCGTTTAAAAAAAAGTAGAAGAAAAAACAAATCGTCTATCACAGTGTGGTCGCAAATACGTTGTGTGGTCGCACATGCAAAGTTTGTTCTTTCACCACCATATTACAGGTACATGGCGCCACCATGTCACTTTTTTCATGTCGGGGGGATGGTTCATAATCCACAGATAAATAAATAAATAAAACACACAATAAAAAATAAAATAAAACATTTTTTTTTAATTATACAAATCAAGAAAAAACCATTTTTTCGATTTTTCATTGAAACATTTTCTTTTCAATAATATTTTTACAGTGAGTCGTTTAAGTAACTAGAGTAATACTCTAATAGCTAAAGTATTTTGTTAAGTATATTGGAATATATTGGTGGCACAGTCGTATATATTTGTTTATATTCTTTTGCGAAGTTGTTTCGCAATCTCCCCCTAGCTTTTTGTGAAGTCCCAAATTTTTTATTGAAATAAAAAAAATGAATAAAATAAGCGAACAGTTTTTGGAAAATGTACGAAAAAATGAGTGTTTTTTATGAGTTTAAACCTAATAGCAAACGTTTGCAAAAATATATCCACAAGTCGAATCGTCGCTACAATATAATAAGTGGACAATTTATTGTTTGTGTTTTGTTCAACAAATGATTTGGATGATGGATGACAATTGGCAGCATATAGCATGAATCTTCCACCCAAAAGAAAATTCAATTGAAAAGTTCGACGGTAATTTTTTTTACATAATATTGATTTATGAACCAATCCTATCTGGACCAATTCCATCTGGTGTACTGGGACCACCACCAATTCCTGCCGCAGTTTCATCAAGTAAAAGTGGAATGAAACAAACCTATGTAGTTTAGTATTTTTTTTATAAATTCACACAAAATCATCTGAAATGACTTTTTGGTCCAACACACTTTTTTTGTAATTGTTAGTTGTAATTATCATTTCGTATTGGATTAAATAAAAATGTGGTTAAACCTGAATTAATTTCGTTTATAGCAAACAATTGTGACTTTCATAGTCATCAATGCACACGTTTAACTAGCTGCACTTATTTTGAGAGTTTAATTGAAAAGGGTATTGATGCACTGACGGTGGGACAAGAGCTACGAAAATTTGATATTTTGGTAATATAATCAAAATTCAAGTTTTGTATTTTGGATAAGCAGAGGGATGCAAGTGCTGGACATCCTGAGCAGTGATATGTGGAAGCAAGGCCCAAGTTGGCTTAGAAAACCAGTAGAGGCATGGCCTAAGCCAAAGTTGACCATCACCACGCAGGTCTACAACCAGATCAAGGCAGAGACGAAGCAAAAATCGACACTGGTCATGTCTGTAATGCTAAGCAAATGGAACAACCAAATAAAAGAACTTTGGTACAGAACTAATGATTGGCGCAAATTGCTTAGAATTACCGCCTATGTACTTCGATTTATAGAAAATACCAAAATGCATAACAGAAGCAAATGGACGCGAGGCGAGCCAAAATCATTCGAGCTCAGAAAGGCAGCATGGTTCTGGATAAAGTATGCACAAGCAACAGCATACAAAAAGGAGATTCACATGCTCAAAGCAAGCGATAAGCAATTTCCCCCAAAAAGCAAGATTTGTGCACTAAAACCAAGCATTGACCTGAATGGCTTATTACGTGTGGGTGGGCGCATCAATAAAGCAAATATCAAATACGAAAAGAAGCACCAAATCATCATACCCCCACATACGAGATTAGCACAATTGCTAATCATGTACGCACACAAAGAACAGTTGCATGGTTCCGTACAGTCAGTAATGGCATATTTAAGGCAAACGTACTGGATACCCGCATTGCGATCTCAAGCACGAAAAATAGTATTGCAATTAAGGCTGTCAACGAACTGTTCACGAACGTACGCGAACGGATTGATTTTTGATGCGACTGTACTTGTTTGTTCGTACGCTTCGAATAATTGTTCGCGCGAACACGAATGCGAACGCGAACGTCCGCGAACTGTCCGTGAAAAGCTATTCAGTAAATTTAGTATTACTGATTCAGAAATCAGATCATTACAGCAATTTTTTGTAGCATTGTTGGCAACATGTCGATTATATTTTTATTAGTATTTGAGAGCTCCACATCTAAAAACAACATGAAAAAAATATTTTTTTTCATATCAAGATTTGTTTATAAAGCAATAAAATATAACCAAAACAAATTCCCAATTCGAAGATACTGTCCTTCGCCTTGTACAAAGTTTGTCATCACAAGACGATTTACCGTTTACTGATATTCTTAGATTCGTAAAGAAGTCTTACGCGGTAACGGTTTCTTGTACACAAAAAACCAAAGACACAATCGCATCACCGAGATGGAAAGGATTTCATTCATTTGACGAGTGTCAAAAAGAATTGTTATTTGCTCGAAAATGAAAAAATTGAAGTGTTTGAAGTGCAGTGGATTTTTTTCTACTAAATACAACCTTGAAGTACATTTTGCGGGCAAACATCCCAACATTTTCATTGAAAAAAGGAAAGAATTGTGTCGTGCAGCTGAGTGGTTTGAGGTACCGAAAAAAAAGGGCAAATTTATTTGTGAAATATGTGATAAAACTTTACAGCGGAAAGAAAATCTAATTAACCATATGAAAATCCACTCGACCTCGCGAAAACGGCTCAAATGTGATTTTTGTTCGCTGACTTTTACATATCGGACAAATTTAAGACGCCATCTAAACAAAAAACATTCCAACGAAATGATCAGCAATTCTATCAGTTCAAATTCCTTCCCCACTAAAAGAAGTGATGATGAAACCAGTAAAGACGGTGATGTACCACTGGCCCGAATTTGCAATGCGTAAAATGCACAAGGTTCTCCAAAAAGGCAGCACAGCAGATTATGGCAGAACTACCGGCCATACGCATAAGACCAGCCTTACCCTTTAATGCAACAGGGGTAGACCTGGCAGGCCCGTTCGTTGTCAAAGCAACAGACAAATTAAGACTCGGCACACGAGCAAGAAGCAAACAAATGCCAGACTTGAAAGGCTACGTTGTGGTGTTTGTGTGCATGGTGACCAGGGCAATTCATCTTGAAGCAGTGATGGATTTGTCTGCTGAAGCATTCCTGTGCGCACTACAAAGATTCACAGCACGACGCGGATTTCCAACCAAAATGTTCAGCGACAATGGTACAAACTTCGTCGCAACAGATAGAATATTACAGCAATCAAAAGAACATTTTCAAGCATCAACGACCAAAGCATTCTCATCTTGGCATGCAATGGAGTGGCAGTTTATAACACCAGGCGCTCCACATGAAGGTGGGATTTGGGAAGCAGCGGTCAAATCAATGAAGAACCACCTTAGACGCACCATGGGCATGCAAAAATATACATATGAACGGGTAACCACGCTACTCACAAGCATTGAAGCTCATTTCATAATTGGTGGACCACCAGTAATGTGCGAGCTACATTTTACGGGGGGGTTGATTTTTCAAAAACTAAAAATTCTCTCATCTGAACAACAAATTTCGTTTTTTTTTTTTGCTCTTCACTTTTTTGGCGAAAATCCCTAGCAAATCGAAAGAATTTTCTCCGCGCAAAACCTCAGGAAATTACAATAAAATCGTTTTTTTTTTTTTGAAGTCACTTTTTGAGGCGAAAATCCCTAGCAAATCGGAAGAATTTTCTCAGCCAAACAAAGTGAAGAGCTAAAAAAAAGGGTCTTCACTTTTTTCGTGAAAAACCCTAGCAAATTCGAATAATTTTCGCGAAAAAATTTTTCTCATCCAAATCACAGGGGGGGTAAACCCCCCCCCCCTTCGCACATTACTGGTGGACCACTAAAGCTACCATTCCATGAGGAAATGGATCGGCCACCAATAACACAATCAGCAAGGCAACTATATAAGCACACTCAAGCACAAGTACAAGCATTTGGAAGCAATGGTCAAACGACTATCTTCACAGCCTCACACAACGGCCAAAATGGCGAGAGGAAAATGAGAACATAAAAACCAATTATGTCTCATCAAGCATGAAAACCTCGCGCCAACATATTGGGCAATGGCACGCATAGTCAAAACGCACCCAAGCAAGGATGGCAAAGTCCGATCGGTCACCTTAAAAGTGCAAAATGGTGAACTCGATCGTTCCATCCGTAAGCTATGCATTCTCCCTACAGACACAAGCCTAAACCTCTGGGTTAACAATTAAAATCGTTAACGGGGGGAATGTTCAGTACAGTGACCAATACCAATGCACGGTATTGGCACACATTACTGAGTCGGTGTGTCGCAGCTGTCACACAGAGACAAGCATCTGTGTAGACACACCGCACCGACACAGTTAGTTAATTAATTAGTTATAAGAAAACAGTCCGTGTACACGCTTAATAAAATATATTCTCTCCATAAAAATAATCTGTCTAATTATTACTGATCTCCCAAACATAATGAATATTCAAATCAAATCAATCGAAAAAAATTCAAAAAGGCCGGGGTTTTAAATGATTAAAACGACTTTCGGCGATTTGGGAATGGTCGAGTTGAAATTGAACTCACACAGCTGCACCATTGGGTTCAATTGCCGTCGATGCCGATGCGTTGTCAGGAACTGGCTGAACAACGAGCGGAAAATTTGAATCATGTTTTGATGCATTGGGGAGTGGCACACCAGTAGCTGAAGCATTCGACGGTTGTTCAGTGGTCACACCTACGTTCAATTGCATTTCTTGGTCTTGAATGTATTCAAGTATGTTGATATGTGGCATCTCATCATCATCAGGAAGGGGTTGAATTTGATGTGATACATTCGGTTCTTGTTGCGTACTGGTGCCTGGACGTGGATCATCTACGTTGTTCGATTGATGCTGTGATGAAGCTGGATTGACTGTTCGATTACCCGAGGCCCTCACATTCGGTGACGAGGCACTTTGTCGTTGTGGGCCTGGTTGTTGACCATTATTTCCTTGTCGATTTGCTCTCAATGGAATTATTCCCGTTCGTACCAATTGGTTTCGACCTCTATTCAAGAAAATGCATGTTCTCAATGACATTAAAGTAAAAAAAAGACTACAACTTACGCTTGCAACAATGTCGGAACAAATGCTTTCCAATGATTTCGCATTTCGTTCCACTCAGCAGCGCCATGCTCCATAACGATCAGTTTCGGCCAAGCTGTCATGTCGAGATCGAATGGAAGATGGGCTGGGTTCTTGTTGCTATATCAATTTAATTTGTGATTAACGATTTTACAAAAGATTCGATTCGTAACTATACTCACTCGTACTTTCGGATGGGGAACTTTATGTAACCAGGAAACATGTAGTGTTCACCTCTCATGCGACACTCTCCAGCTAGATACAAATGACGTCCCACTCGTGCACCTGTCCAATCCGAAAAGTCCACGTTTACCACCTCACGCATCTTCCGAATTGTTGCCTGAAAATCCATATCCGCCGACATTTTGACAATTGGTCGATCCGAATGTGACGAAAACGTAAAAATTGTGGTGGAACCCAATAGATTCGATGAAAATCAAATGATTACTTTCGATAAAACTCTATGACTGAATGATCTCTTTATCACACCTAACAATTCAATTTGAGAAAAAAAAGAAACAAAAATAGTCTTGTCAGCTGTATTTTTTGAATTTCAACACAAAACGAAGTTTAAGCACGAGAATAAACACTTGGTTTTATTTTTGCTTAGTTTGTTCGACACTGATGGCGCGAATTATCAAAAAAGCTGACGATTGAGTTTTTTTCACACCGACGCTCAGAAAATAATTTCGAGAAGGTTTTTTTGGTAATAGAATCGACAAAAAGGACTAACACATATTGAAAATTCTCAAAAAACTTGAAAATGAAGGCAATTATTTGCAAAAACGCAATAAACTCACTTTTTAATTGAATTATAGCGAATTACAGTCCGTCCCATAGTAGAGGCCGGTTGATTTAACCACAAAAAGTTTCAAATATCTTGAAAATATTTTTGGTGTCGCCAGATGGCACTCTAAGCTAATGCGCCAATTAACATTGACAGTTCTCAAATCACTACAGTGTTTGTTGTGCAACGAAAACATGGATTCGGAATATTTTCATAAGCGTTTTGGAGCGGTGTTTTTGCATCTACATCCAAAAGGACCAAGAATGTCAATCGCATCAATTGATAAATACATTAAAAAGTCAGAACGGTTCGTCAAGCACTGGATTGAACATTATAACAGTGAAAGAAATGTGAATGATCAGCCCAATGTGAAGCCAAACCGAGCCACCTCGCCAAAGCAAGATAAACGGATAGTCAAGTTGTTCAAGGGACACGATATATGGACAAAATGATTTATAAAATGCAAATGGATCAATGCAAATCTCAGAAAATGACACTAAAATCTGATTGAAAATGCCGGAAAATTCTCAATTATAAAAAAAACTCTTTGTGATTTAGCTAGAAAAATGATCGAAATTGTGGTAATACTCACTTAATTTCTAGACACTGATACGCTGATTCAGCAAAAACAGGTGATGTAAAACCAGTCCCCTCACAAAAACAGTCCAGATGGAAATGGTGTGTTTTAAATGTTATTCTGCTTGGAATGCTCGCTTCACACAAGCAGTTCAATACATATGCAACTTATACAAGCTTGTCAGAAATTTTTACAGGAGACACATATACAATTATAAAAATGAAAGACATGGCTATTCAGCTTATGTTTTACTCACATTCAGTTTTGATACTTTACAGTGGTGGCTGATTGTACTTACTTCAATTTAGTTGAAAAAAAATACGAAAAACTTTTCTCAAAATAATAATTTCATTTGAATTCCTATGAGCCACCGTGAATCCGAAGTTACATACTTGGAATAAGTGAATCCGAATCGAATTAGAAGTAACTAACTTCATTCTGATATCACTTGTCACACAGCACAATGAGTAAGGAGAGCATTATACTTAGTATTGTTCAAAACTACTCATGTATTATCGAATTTGAATCCTGAACAAAACGCTTGTCGGTGCTCTAAAACGTAACACGAGCTCAATCGTAATTTAGGGATGGACGTGAATGTAACCAACAAAAAAAATGTCTCTGAGACCGTTCCATTGAAGATGTACTTTTCAAAAGCATGAAAATCGCCATGGATTCAGCTGTTGAATGTGAAATGATAGCCGCTATCATATTGTTCACTAGGAATGCTTGTGTTGTATTCACGAACTGGAGAAAATGACGTTTCAGGTCGTCATAAATAAAACTAAGAAAATGCCATGTGCCAAAAAGCCAATTTTTATGAATTTACTTCAATGGACTATGTATTTTTGATGGGTGGGAAGAAGGGACAAACCGCTATCCTTGGGGAACCTTTGAGCAGGCCTTGATGATACTAAAACATGATATAATGTGTGTTTTTTTGTGTTTCTTTATTATGTATTTTATAAATTTATATCCATTCTTACTTAATATTTCATCTGATAAATTTCAAGCTATAAAAATTAAAAAAAGAACTGCATTGTGCCTGTACACAAAATAAAAGAAACCATAAAAATATTTAGTAATTAAAATTTAAAATAAAAACAGGGAAGAATCTCTAGCGCGTGCCACAGAAAGACTTTAAGTCTTTTCCAGATACCGGTACATATTTCTATTTCCCTCTTGAGATTTCGAAACCCTACGTATTTATTATGAATTATTCGTATTTTTTGTTATCTTTTTTTTCATAGTTAACCTTAATTAAAAAAAAAAATCTTGATTTGATGCTAAGTGGATAATTAAATGTTCGTTTATTTAATATACAATTCATTTCTATCGTATCGAATTTTTTCATTGATCGAAAACTGATGGAAATAGCATACTACATATCGAATTAGTATATTTAAAACATAACTAAATATTATTTCCACCGCATTTATTAAGTATAGTATGTAAAAATGTTCATCTTAAAAAAACTGTGCCGAACAAAAAACATCGATTTTGTATAGCCTTTTATGTGAATATTAAATGCATATTGAATGTGGATTTAGGCAAAAATCAATTCAGTCTAAAAAATGATATCGCATGTTCATAGGCATACACAAAATCATTTTCTTACTCCAACATTCTTTCCAAAATCGATTTATGTTGATCGCAATGTTTCAAAGTGAAAGTGTCCATTAAAAAAGAAAGCTCGAGCAAAAAATAATTTATATTCGACGTGTTGTTTGTTTTTTCCTTTAAATATATTCATGTATTTTTGGAGATTTATTGTTTTTTTACTCTGTATCATGTAACAAAAAGAAGCATACATTTTATCATTTACGATTATGATTTTTTTTGTGTAATTTTTTATTATTGTAAAAATTTTCATTGTTTATTTGAAATATTTTGAAGGGGATGCACATTTACATAAAAGTATATTTGATGTGGATCGCATGTTGTTGTTTTTTTTTTATCCTTTTCAAAAGTAGACGTAAAAATAAAGTTGTGACCACTATTTCTATTGTTTTATTCATCTTAATTTTGATTCGTATATTTCTCTTTACAATGCATGATGATAAATATAAATGTATGTATGTGATTTCGACAAACAAGTAAAAAAGCTACATAATGACTCATCAAAGCACAATAATAAAAATGAGAAACCGATAAATGTTCATGTATTTCATATAATTGGAATAGTTTAGACATGGATATGAAAGTGATAAAAGGAGATTTACAATTGCATTACTTGGAAAAGTAAAAGATGCTTTGAAATGAAATTTTCCAATTTTTTTTTATGTTGAAGAGAGAGAGAGAAAGATAGAAAGTTCGGAATTCCTTATTGGATATTTTTCTTTAAAAAAAAAGGTTATCATGCTACTACTTTGTCGTTGTTGTTTGTCTTTTGTTTTCGTTTCTCATCTAGTAGTTAGTAATTATGCTTCGATTCTGTATGCATGCTTAACGGTACGTGATACAAATACAAAATACATATAAAAATGTAATATTTAGATAATATTGTGATTTTTTTGCTGTTTTCTTCTTCGTTACTCTTTTTCAATTCATTTTTAATTATGCGTTGATGCTTTGATGTGATTTGTAGCGTGGTCGAAATCGTTTTGTCACTTTATGTGTGTGTTCATGATGTTACTAAATAATTTCTTTCTTTTATTTTGTTTTTGATTGACATTACAATTGTTAAGCTATCCCTATTGCAAGAAGAACTGATTCATATATATATATAATTGTTGCTGTTGTTTTGTTTGCCATTCCAGAGGCGTTTCTTTTCTCTTTCCATATTGCATATTTCTGTTGTCTGTATGTATGTATGTTTTCATGCTATTTATCGTGTGTAAATATGGCTTTCCCGTTTATGTTTTTTTGTTGTAGTTGTTGTTTCTTTCGTGTTATGTTTTGTTTTGTTCATCATTGTTTGTAATTGATTTTGAGTCAATTTTCCATTTTCCTTACTTTCTCTCTTAATATATAAATTGTTTATATTTAATATTTAGTTTAATAAATCAAATTCTTTTTGCAACACACAATCGATGCATCTTATTCGGCAGCTACAACTTCTGTTGATGGTGGTGGATTGGCTGCTGCCAATTTTTCTAATTTTTCTGGCGAAGTAGCGATTTCCTGCAATGTAAATTAAAAGAGGTTAAATGTTAAATTAAAAGAGGAAATTTCATTATGAATTTATAATGAATTCAGTATCGAGCCTACCTCTGTTTTGTGGTCACCGTTCAATTTTTCCGAGACGCCGTTATCGGTGCTGACACCATTAGCCTGAAATTGGAAAATAATTTTGGTTTATTTGTATATTTCAATGAAAATGTTCGCTGAAAATCAAATGGACAATAAATATGTATAGTGCACAATAGTGGTTAAAAACGAACTGCTCTTATATATTCTTGCATCATATTGATTAAACACAATCGAAATCAAAAAGTGATGAAACTCTATCGCATATGACAAAAAGTTTAATCGCCGTTTGATTTCAATATATCAAAAACATTTACGTCATACGCAAATATAAATATACACAAGGGGAAAAAAGCAACAAAAATGATATAGAATTGGAAAAATGTCTCGATGGTCGAATTCGTGCCAATATTTTCTTTTTATTTTTTATCCTTTCGATACAGTCACAATATCGAACCGGCTAGCAAGAAATGGACCATCGTATTTTTCCGCACAGAAAATAAACAAGAAATCAAAACACAAATATTGAAGCATTTTGTTTTTCTAGTAGAAAATTGTCTACCCACGAAACAACTATCAGAATATTCACACACACAAAATACATTTTATTCTTATATAAAAAAATGGAGCACATAATTTATTATTTCGATGCACTAGGCTAGCCCAAAGTGTAAGATGCAATGCAATTTATAATGTATCTTTATATTTTCGATGTATGTAGTTAGTCACAAATAATATATTATTCGAGTAAATTAGTTGGTGATATTAGTTTTTGTTGAATTGGTAAATTTAACTGCTGCGCTTCATAAAGGGGGTTAATTTTGTGCGATGTGTGATTTTTGGTTTTAGTAATATTTATTGGTCGAATTGGGTTTAAGATGGGGCTAGTTGCAAACACAGTGGAAGATGAATGGGATCAGGAGTTTGTTTTTCTTTATGAATTTGATTGTTTTTGTTTTTATTTTGCATTTTCTACTTCATCATCAAGAAAAAATATTGTATATTTCGTTTTCACTACATATTAAATTCATTATCTTGTTTCATTCCTTTTGATGAAGTTGTCGATATGTGTAAATGTGTTTTTTACGTATAATTGTTGCGTTACAAATTAGTCTACGATATATTATTGTATTTTGCTCAAAAGTATCTATAATTTAATGTCATTCCGCATTATTGATCATCAACCAAATAAAGAATCTAACGCAAATAAAGAATTTTACCAAGAGAAAAAAATTGCAAAATATAAATTTTTCGTTCGGAAAAAACTAAATAAACGTAAGTTGCAGTGTTGTTGTAAATCGATACGGATATAAATAGATGTGTAGAAATAGCAGACTTTCGTTCAACAATGAGATGAGTCGGGATTTGTGTCGAATAATGAGGATTGAGGCATTTTTTTCAAAAATCAAATTCTTGGTTGAGTAATTTTGAAACTATCTCAGAGTTGATTCGACGATCACAAAATAAAAGTGAATTGAAAATCAAAATTAAAAATTAAAAAGTATGCAGAGAAATATATGTCATTCGCCGAGCAAACACAATTGTTAGGAAAACGAAAAACAAAATTCTAATATGTGGATCACGAGCAATTAAATCCACAGTCGGAAGAATAAAATCATGGAAAAAAATGAAAATGCAAGACAAAGTCAAAATTGTTCAAAAAACCATTCGTGAATTGCTCTATATAATAGAGAGGGACGCTGTGGCTTTTTATCAATGAATTTTCTTTGGTTTGAATAAATTATAATGTGATCTACGCAAAAATATGTGAAAAATGTGAATGGCCGTTTTATGGTTGGTTTTTGGTTGCTCATTTTTTTTGTAAATTAAACAAAATATTGAGATATAGAACAAAACAAAGTACATAAAAACTAAAATAAGAACGTAAAACAAAAATGATAAACGTTTGTTTGTTGTTGTTATTTAGAAAAAAGAAGAGGAAAATGAACTTAAAATAAAGAATTGAACAAAAAACAAAAAAAGACAATAAAAACTCAATTCAATGAGTTCGAAGGGCGTTTGTTTCGTAGATAGTTGTAATCACCTTATCAGAAATATTATTGGTGGCCACGTCGTGTTCTTTAGCTGAACCGTTCAAAATACCATCGCCGCTCATTTCATCAACATTGTGTTTTTGGTCGTTTTCTGCTTGGTTATCGACGGCAACGGAGGAGACAGCGGCCACGCCATTTGTTTTCAGTTCATCGATAATCTCATGTTCGATAAGTTCATGTGTTGGTGGCGGTGGCAATGTGTGCGATGAGTTGTTTTCAGCAATGTTATCGACACCCATGTTGGTGGAATCGGAACCACTTTGTTCGGTTGTTTTCTCATCGTCATCAACAACAATATCATCGATTGGCGGTGGTGGCGGTAATGATGTAACATCTTCATTACCTAGCTCAACCGTGGCACTTTCGTCAATTTCATTTGGTGGTGTTAAATTTGACGATGACAATGATTGTGGAGAAGGAAGGGTATCCAAACTATATTGTTGGAGTGGGGATGATATGTCAGCGGATATAGGTTCAATATTTGTTTCAGTAACAACATTTTCAATCGGTATAACATCCGATTCATTGAGATTGACGCGATCAAGAATTTCAATTGTTTCGGCAATTTCATCGTCCGATTTCGGTAATTCCGGTTCGCATTCATTATCAACTTTAATTTCGGTTTCACATTGAGGTGATTCGCATGGTACATTTGACGTAGGCAGCTTTTCGTCGTAAACCTCAATTGTTTCAATCGGCGCTTCACCGATGATTTCATTTTTAGCTTCTGTTACTTCAATCGTTTGGGATTCGACAGCGACATCATTGTTATTATCGCTGACCTTTACATCGTTGGATGGTGCAACCAATTCAGAAGAAGTAGCAAGTTTGATTTTTTTATCATCACCGACTAATTCGGAATCGATTTGGGCAATTGGTTCGACGATGGTTTCAACAACAGAGAGAACTGTTTGTGGAACATTTTCCACCTGATTTAAATCAACAGACATAGCCGATTCGGCAAATACAGTAATCTGTGATGGTGGTGGGCTATCGGGTAAGGGAGGTGCGGATTGTGAATTAATGTTATCGTTATCATTATTCGAACTATTATTTGTGCAATCAACCACACCAACGACTGAACTGGTGTCGATGGTATCAACAATATTTTTTTGAACTATGTCAACATTTTCATTTTCGCTAGACAGCGATTTTTCGTGTTCGACGTTATCAAGAGCTTGTGTATGTGTTTCTTGTAAATCTTGGTCAGCATTCTTGTTTACCTCTGGCTTGGCTACGGAGTTTAACTTTTCGTCAACGGATTTGGAAGCAGCCACAATAACTTCATCGACCGTCTCCTTTGCGACCTCAACAATTGGTTTGCTGTCGCCATTTGATGGTGGCGTCACTGATTCTTCAGGTGTTGCAACTGGTGCAGCTTGTTCGCCATTGGTCTTAACTTCTTCAGTTGTTCCATTGGTTACTGGTTCGGCGCTCTTTTCTTCACCAGATGGTGCAGCATCAGCGGCTGCAGCAGCATCTTCAGTTCCCTGCAAATAAAGAATTTTAGATTTTTTTCGTTCCGTTTTTGTTCAGAAAAGATTTTCTGTTTTTATTGTTAACAAAGACGATAATTACGTATAAGAAGAAGGAGAAGGAGATGAAGAGAAAACTTAACAAGAATTATATTTTCTTATTTCGAAGCGAGAATGACATGATTTGTGGACACCAATTTTGAATTTTGTAATGCATTTCATATCAGTCTATGCTGAAAATCAATAGCCTACACACAATTTTCAATATTATATTCAACGCCAATACACTTATGAACCAACATAGTAAGTAGACAAGATTGCGAGAGAGAGAGAGAGAGAGACTTCAGTGTTGGAAATCGAGTGAAATGATTTATATGGTTATTGTTGCCATACATTGAAATGGTTTTAAGTGCATTGTATTCGCAGCTATCGCACGTATATCGAATGTTGATCCGGTTGGCAAACATTGGCAACGACCGAGAACATGCTACCGGCATATCTTTCGTCTACATTTCTATATATATATAGTGCATAAAGTGCACCGGGTTTTTTTCGTCTCTTTTGGTGATAGCAAAGTAACCAACAAAACAACGTATGAGCAAAATAGAGTGAGATATAGACGTACAGAGTTAAATTTTAAGTTTGCAGCATTTAGTCATGCGTTGTGTTTTTATCCCTTTTCTATGTGTGTGTTTGTGTAAAAGAGATTGTTGGTTGTGGTAGTTGTGAACTTGGTATTGAATAAACTATGTGGTGATTAAAATATCCTCTTTACATTGAGTTTGACTTACGCTTGCGAATTCTATAAATAGACACAACGAGAACTTGAACAAACGAACGGATGTGCGTAGAAAATTACAAGCACTACAATGTGCAGCGATTTTTGATGAGCTTCGTTCACAGCTCTCGCTGCTGCTGTCTCTGCCGTTGTTGTTGCATATATATATATATATATATATATGCAATAAAGAGATGAAACATGCGTTTTTTCTCAATTCCCTCGAGTTGCTGTATGTGTGAGTGTATTTTTTTTCTCCTTTCGATTCGAAAATGGTAGAGAAAAAAGCACATAGATTAACACCAGCTAGTTGTAATGACTACAGCAACCGACGTGCATGGCAAACACAAATATGCTGTTGTGGTAAATTTAAATTGAAACGGGTTTGGTGTCAGTTTAGCCAGCACAATAAAATTGCCGATTAATTTCGTTCATGTTCAATAAGATCGTTATGCAGAGTTTTGTCATTGGCTGTTGCTCTTGGCAATCAACGTTGAACTTCATCTATTTATTTGTGCACACTCTTTTTCCTCTTTCTTTTTAACCTTTTTGTCTTATTCTTCTCTTTTCTTTTCTCTCTCTTTCGTTCCAATGAGTTTGCCATTGCATTTCAATTGTACTCATCCCATCGAATATACACGTCTATTTATTCATTCTACGCATTTTCCATCGGTTCGTTGCACTTTCTTTTGGGCATTGAATCGGACATATAATCTTAAAATATATACGCGCGCACAGCAATAAATTTCACTTCAGATTGTTCAAACTCTGTCGACAAACCTATGCCTTTTTTCTCTATTTTTTCGAGAACTTTATTTTTCATGCATTTATATGCGAGCGATTGGTCGCTGTATATGTCTTTTATTCATTCAATTAAATATTATGTCCGGCTTACGAGATCATTACAGGATGGTTTGAAAATGATTTCGATTGGGTTTTTGCTGATATAATTTTTTTTTATTATGAATTCGTGATAAATAGGAAGATGGGAAAAAATTGCTTTCGCTATACTAAATGAATTTAAGGAAGCCATTATTATGTTCACACCCACAATGTGCCGCATTCAAGCTGGTTGCTTGCATGAACTCTAACCATATATGTCAATGTGAGAATCCGATGCCGGTTTTCACTGTGTGCATGTGCAATCATATTGCATTTGGACGAGTGTTATGTAAACTATATAATGTATTGAAACTTGGTTCGCGTGCGCTAGAGCAATTCCCTTTCTCTCTCTCTCTTTTCTCTACTGAAAAAAACTTCATAATGTTAGTTGATGTTGACTTTAAAGAAAATGTCTATGTTTTTGTTTGCTCTGTGTTTAGTTGTGAGGCCGGTTAAAAAAGAAATAATATGTAATATTGTAATATATGTTAATCGTCGCGGGGTTCAGTTCACTCACCTCTTCGGGAACTTTTTCGCATTCACCGTTAGTTGTGTTAGCGGCGGCTTCTTCCTTTTTCGGCTTTGTTTTGTCTTTCTTGCTGAACGAGAACGAGCGGAATGACAAGAAGCGTTTTTTCGATTTGTCTTTTTTCGGTTTTTTGGCGCTGTCAGTCACTGGTGTTGATGAAGCGTTTGCATCATCGCCAGCATTTTCAACGCCATCTTTGCTTTCATCAAGTGTGCCGGTGGTTGTATCGGCAGCATTTTCCGCTTCCTCTCCAGCACCGTTTTCAGCTGGTTTTTCGGCTTCTTGACCATCTGCATCGGTTTTAGCTGCTGCTGGTTCAGCTGCGGCTGGTTGTTCGGTCTTTTCGGTGGCTGCATCCTTTTCATTTTCGGCACCATCGTCCTTCTTCTCTTCCTGTTTTTCATTAGTCTACACAAATATGAGAGATTAAGAACAACAAAATAAAAAAAAAATATAATCGAAAAAGTTCAATTAATTTTTACACTCATGAAACCATGGTTGGTTGATTTGTATGTATTTACCACCGAATTGGCGTGAGAATGGAAAAAAATCAACTTACACCTGAGTCAGCATCCTTATTGGCTTCACCATTCAATTGTGGTTTTTGATCGACGTCCTCGATTTTGCCAACTTTGCCGCTTTCACCTTCAGCTAGAGCTACACCTTCTTTGTTTTCTGTTGTGATATCCACAGAACGTTTACTTTGTGCCTTGCCCATTTTAGCTTGTAGATTTTTTTTCTCTCTCTTGTGGTTTTTTACTCAAACGATCGTTTTCTATAGAAACAATAATAATAATAAGAAAAATGTAAAACTTTATTTAATTGATTTGTGTTAAAGTACATAACAAATAAATTCGATTTGGGGTGTGTGATTCAAATGCAAATGAAACTATATTCACGATGTAAACACAAAAAAAGGTTACCAATCTATATTTTCTTAATAAACAATGTGACCAAGGTCACTCACGTAATTTTGTTTCGCTTGCGATAAGATTTAATGACAATAATTGATTTAAGTATTTTCAACAAATTGATTTGTTTATGTGAATGTGACCACAAAATGTGCGACGAAATGTGTTAGCATTCCATCGCATTTATTGATTCACATTCAATTGTTTATGCAAATATTTTGAACGAATTTCTTTTGTTAATTCGTTTGTTCTGTAGCTGGTAATTCAATTTTACTTTTTTAAATGAAAACATTTCCTATACAATACATCAAAATCATGACATCTATTTTCAATTTTCAAAATAATTTTAACACATCAATTTATGACGTAAATGTAATAATTTTGCTCGTTATAAAATATCGCGTTTTATGAATGTATGAAATAATAGAAAATAAAATGCATCGATTTAAAACAAAAATGCACTACCTGATGGTGTTGCAAAAAAAGCTGATGGTTCTGCAATTATATTCAACAAAATTAAATGACTTTTCTGTCGTTTATTTCTCGAATGTTAATTTTCACAGATAATGAATGCCTCTTTTCGTTCATGTGAGTTCTTTTAAAAAAGCACCTGAATATTGGGCACATAAAAACAATTTGAATGGGAACAGAAAAGTTAATTTGTTTAAATAAAGCAAACACTGATTGACAGTCGAATCACGATAAATACAATTCATATTCGAAATGCGCCAAATGTGCCTGATGTGAAAAAAAGAGACAAAAACCGCATATAGCATTTATTGCGAGATTGCATTGCGGTGCAGAATGAAAAGATATTGTTTGGGCCTGATTATTGAAAATAATGGCTTTTTTCCAGCAAATCAGAGTTATCAACCGCGATGTGTGTATATTAATGAATACCTGCATCGCAATAAATAAAAATTGGTGACAAAAAAAATTCTGGCGACAATGTAATTTGTGATGGAATTTAGACTGAATTTTTGATAAAATAATCTGAATGTGTCGATGAAATATGTTTGCAATTCAATGAGTAGTGTGTCTCATCGACATTCTTACCCTGAATGCGAAATAACTCAATGGCGACGACGACGACAACAATGATAACGACCACGTAAAATTGATCAATAAATCTCAATGATGACGACAAACGATTGACTATTGATAATTAACATATATATAATCGTTGAACATTCATCGAATAAATATGTATGTACTTCTGTACAGTAAGACCTGTTTTAGGTACACTCACTAATTCATTTGGAATTTGTGTTATATTTACATTTTAATAATATGTAAACAATAATTCGTTTTCTCAGGAATGATAATGAATCAATATAAACACATTTTCTTTATAAAAAGTCGTCAACGAGACTTTATTTATAACAGTGCGCAATAAGAGTCTTACATTTGGTATAGACCGCATAAAATGGGAGACAGAAAAATTCGTTGTTTTTGTTGTGGAATGCTAGTCAAAAACTACGCAAATCAAAGTCTAAAAATAGTGGGGTAATAATACATATTTCGTTCACAGAAGGCGCGCGTATTTGTGTTATCAACACGGCAATGATGAATCAAGTGTACTTGCAATGGCTACTTGTTGACATTTTTCTCATCGTTTTCATTTTCAATGTTATTTTTTGATTTTAATTACCATAAAAACAAACTTCCTTTGACTCATTCAGTTGGCGTTGTTAGCACTGAGAACGAAATGCGTCGTAAAAAAAACGTTCTCATTTGATGTCGGATGCATTTAAAATGCATTTGAGTGAGCCTAGAGAAGAAGAGCAAAAGGTGTCTGCACACTGCCTTACGTTTGTTTGAATTCTTTGAGAAGAGAAAAAATCATGTGACGTTTTGTTGGATTTAGAAGAAGATTTTCTGAAGAAGGAAATATAACCAGTGAGATATTTGTTACATTGTACGATGAAGAAGCTCGCGCAAGCGATAAATGTGAATACGCTTGAGGCATACCTGATGATTGTGTTGTTGATAGAAAATTGATGAGAATGCAAAATATTATCTATTATAAATACCGCATTGGTATAAGTAACTAATACGAAAAGGTTACTAAAAATGAAATAAACAATTGGTTTGTTCGTCGTAGTCGTCATTGTCTTATTCTTCTTCTCTTTTAAGTCGAAAGAACTGATGAATTATCAGGAAAATAAGATAAATAAATTCGAAATCAAAAGTTATTTATTTAGAACGAAAAACATGAAACGGAGAAAAATACGTAAGAATGAATGCAGCCAAAACAAAAGCATAAAGAAGACGAAACCGATACACAAAGAAATAACGGAATTATAGTGTATGCACGATACGAAGAATGCGCGCGATAATGTAAACAAACATCGTGAAAAGTGATAATGATAACAAAAAATATACACATAAACATCCTATACGGAACGCACTCAGCAGAAATGAGAAAATAAAGGAAAAAAAATTAACGATAATAAATATGGAATTATCGATGAAAAATAAAACTCATTTCATTTATTCGTGTTCAATCATCACTTTCCCTTTCAATTGCCTTCGAGGTTCTACATTTTTTGAGAGACTCTCGCTTTTGTTTGTACACGAACACACACACACACACACACACACACACACACACACTTATATGAACACTTTTGTTTGTCTGTGTCTTTCTTATTTGTAAACCCAAGAATATGATATTATACAACGTACAGTCTAAGAATTCAGTTATTTTTTTTAAACGATTGAATTGATTCATTGTCCCTATATCTCAATGTATATGCATAAATAATTTATTTTTTCTTTGTTTTGTCCACGTGAAGAGTTTCAAAAAATTACTATGCATTTCAATTCGTTATCACTAAAATATATCTCACAAAACATGCAGACCAGATTGTTTTTATTCGAGCGAACTTATGTCGAGTGATTTTAATAACAATTGTTTTCGCTTTTGTATTCGCTTGTTTTTTTTTACATTCATCAATTAATCACACTTATTTATTCAATTTTATCGCCACTCTAGATTTTTGTTTGAGTTGTTATTTCCTTTATATGGGCGGTCTCGGTAAATCAACCGATATAACACAAGCAATTGAAATTTAAATTTCGATTAGTGTATGAGCTTAGAATATCTATCAACTCGTATTTACATTTTTTTGTTTTGTTTTGTTCATCTTACACAAAATCGAGTTTCTTTATCGAAATCTATTTTCTTCTCTGAAATACTGTATATTTGTACAATAATCACGAAATACACATCAATTCTTTAGATGCACATTTGACGCAGCAACCTTTTTTAATCCACAAATCGAAAAAAAATGTTGTTTTTTTTCTTAAATGAAACGTAATCGATTCTATAAAAACGTAATCGTGTTATTTGGATTTTTTTAGTGATTTGAAGTTAAAATATTTTAATGTTGTATTTTTCTCATTAAATCGTATATATTTTAAATCGTTGCACACTTGCTTTGTCGGCTAAGACTAACCGTCCAATTCACTTTCTGTCCATGTGCACACTGTACATGCGTGAATCGAACGAGCAAAATTTACGAATTTTATCTTGTTGATCTTATTTAAACATTCACTAAAAAATATGATGCGAAATTCCTTTGGTTGACAAATATTGATTTGAAAACACTTTATATATAAATATATTTTACACAGTACAAACTTGGCGTCATTTTATTTTACAAAATGTCCATTTTGCTTTGAATACACGTGGGAAATGGATGATCAATAACATCAAATATTTACCGATATTGAGGTATTTACATGAATTTGTTTTGTTTCCGTCACTTTTCTTTTCAAATTCTCACTTAAAAAATGTCTCAGTTGAGTTCGTGTGGTAATTTGGAATGTATCAACTATGAACACACTAATTTGTCATTGTCAGTATAAATGTATTTTGACTACTGCGTTGCTTCTGCATGCGATATGAACACTGAATAATACAGTTAGAGTATGTGCTGTGATCTTTTATGGTCACTTGGTTTGGGGCGTCGAAACGAAGATCTGTGTTCCGTTCACATATACATGCGCACGTTCTCTTGAACACAAACACACATACAAACGTACTGACGATATGAACGACTATCGTACGCTGTTGATGCGATGATTGAGAATAAGAATAGAGGACTTCTTTCGTGCATATGTGCAATGGTGAGTGTACAACGATGAATTGGAGGGGGTAAAAACGAAGAAGAGAACGGAAAAAATTTATATATGAATTGTACAGAATGCAACAAATATCATGAGACCCGATTATGCAGTAGTCTTTATGTTTGTATAAAAATATATGCTTTTTTCTTCGTTTTCTTCTTCTTTTCTGTCTGTCAAATGAAATTAACAAAATTTAACTAACGAAAGGAACAAACAACGAACATATCTATGATCAAGAGTGGCATTACTGAGGACACAAAATGTGAAGACATTCAGATAGAATTATGAAGAAAAAATGAGAAGATTACAAACCAATCGCTTCAAATATGTCTAAACCATTCGTTCATTTTAACCGAAAAGTGTCACATACAACTTAGAATTATGTTAACTTAAGCAAGAAATTGAAAGTGGTGAAAATTATTAAAAAAAAAAAAAATATTTCATGGCATTTAATTTTAACGTTCAATAGCTCAATTTCATTGATTAACCGGGAGCCGATTTAAACGCAACACAAAATAAGAGTCCATTGTGCGCCTATATGTACGGTTGGATCACAAGAATGCATTTCGAATTAAGTGGAATTTTGAATGAAATAATCGAGAAGGAGAGAGAAAGAAAGACAGACAGACAGACAGAGAGAGACACATTTCATACCGACATAACAATATTGCGATGCTAATGCTTATGAATGGAGGACAACCGCACCCTAACCGAACAAACACATGCACAG